TATGATTCCAAGATAATGAAACATACCATGTTAAATATGGAGAAACCTCAGTACTAGCTCTTAAGGTCTAGATATTAATCGATGATTGGAGATCACTTATTGTTTAAGCTGTTGGGGTGCGAGTGAATGCAGGAGCAAACGTAAAAATACTACATTTCATCCACTTATTGTAGATGAGAATGGAATTACAGTATGCTTAAGATAGACAAGAGAGAATATGTTGTGAATCAAATATTTCGTCATTAGTATGATAGTAAAGAAGATGGTGTTTGTTTTTGGAGCTTCAAGTTCCACAATTATAAACCATTCACTTGGACTTAGTTTCCATAACAGAAAACTTATAAAAATAAAAAATAAAAAAATTTCACTTTAAATATCTATACTGACCCATGTACAGTATTGAATTACTGATATTTACCAGCAAACAAATCTATGCCAGATGTGTAATATTTAGCGAAGGTGAGAGACCTGCCAAATGAGATACCCATTTACTACTGGATGGACTGGAGTGCCCTGGTATTAAACCAACAACTCTTAGAACAGGAGGCTCGTGCTATATCCCCAATAGAAAGGGAACAAATATCTAACATGAACCAGTATTATATTAATGATACTGAAAAACTGCAATTGTTAAAAATTTCCAGTCAGGTTTCATTACCTGTTAATCAAGAAAGATTTTAACCCACTGAATGGTAAGAGTTTCTCTTAACCTCATAAGATCATCTGGTACTAGCCAGAATAAAATAATAAATGTGACATTACTTCTTACAGGGTTAAGAGGATAAAAAAATTTATACAAACATTCCCCAATTTATGAAAGTGTCATTCCTGAAAAATTTTTATAAAAAAAATTTCTTCATAAATTTAACCACATTTTTCCAGACTCCCATAATAGCTGAGATGCATTCCTAAAATAAAAAAAATAAAAAAGTCTTAAATGCCACAAAACAAGTTTCAAGTGATTTTTTTTTAGACAGTGATTATAAGCCAATAATAAACATATTAAGTGACATACATGCAGTACAGCACAGTAATAATTTCATACCTGCACTTTACAAGAAACTGGGCAATATTGGAGACAAATAAACAATAAGATGAAACTCTTAGCCAACATCTATAATACTGTAATTATATTACCCTATTAATACACTGACTCATTATATAATTGGAAATACAATCTATAAAAAAAAAATTCCACTCGACCCCTGAGGAGTTATTGTCATCCTCAATTCCTGATGTTTTGTATATAGTGCAACAGATGCAGTCACAGATGCTTAAGCTATGATGATGCTGTTTTAAGCATCAGGCCAGGTGTGCTCTGAACTTTTTGTTTAATGTTAATTTCACTTTGTTTTCACAATGCCCATAAACAAACACAAAAGTGTTAGAATTTAGATGAACAACAATTAAAAAACTAGGGCTTAAAGCCATGAGAGAGAGAGAGAGAGAGAGAGAGAGAGGGAGGAGGAGGGAGGGAGGGAGGGAGGGAGGGAGGAGGAGGAGGAGGGAGGGAGGGAGGGAGGGAGCAAAATATTAAGTCCAACAGGTAGCCACAAGTAGTGAGTGATCTTCAGATTACTGCGGCACAATGGCTGAGGGCTTTATTGAAACCTTAAAAAGCCTTCGTGCACATATCCTTAGGTTACTCCAAAGGGGTTACACATTATTATAAAGGGTCATTTTATTTATTCAAGAACTCTAAATGATTACTATTATTTTAAGACATGCAATAAACAGGAACCTAGTTATCAGTAAAAATAAAGGCTGATCATTACGAAGAACATTTATTCTTCAAGTATTATGACCAGACTTTATTTCTACTAGTTTTTAGGTTCCTGTTTATTACACATAATAGAATATAGTAATCAATTAGGGTAAAAAAAAATACTGTATCTGTATGTCGAATATCTGATGGGTAATCTCTTGATTTACATGGAATCCTTATACAGGCATAAAGCCTCATACATTTAGGCTTTTTTTCTTATATGAAGCTGACTATACAGTAAAACTATGCAAAATATATTGTAATAGTACTGTATACTATTTAACGAAATTAATGAAATTTAACCCCAATCACCAAAACCACAAAAAACTTGGTTAAAAAAAATCACTACAAAAAAGAACTATTCTTCTGGCTGTACTTCAAACTATACATTAAATATCAACTACACATCCCATCCTCAGCGGGTAACCCTTAAAACAGCAAAGGTAAGACATGGGAAGGAACTAACATTGTCTGGAGAACAAGGATGTATCCCTATTTATTCTCATAACTATTCTACACACCCCTCTCCGGGTATATAACTCTCATGTAAACAAAGGGTTTAGTATGTACGATATCACTTAATAGAAATGGTACAGTGCAAAGTATTTCTTTTTCCCTTAAGAGAAAATGTGTGTAGGTTTTTCTAAGGGTTGCTAATTCATGCTAAGGGCACCCCCCCAGGTGACCTAGCTGTGAATCTATATCAACTTGAAAGTTGGTGAAAGTGAAGGCTGTTGAGTACTGTTACAGTCACACTTACTCCTTGTGTACCAGAGGTTTAGTATTTACTGTACTGCCCCTAACAGGCCATCAAGACCACAGATCACATTTTCATCTTCATGGTACAGTTATGGAAATGTGTTCCTACACCCCGTGGTAACCCGTGTCTCCAAACGGTCAACCTATATAGCCTATAGCAAACCTATTCATCAATCATGTCCGTTGTTACACGACCAATACCCATTCATTCATAAATAGTGATACTACTACTGCCACGGTGCCGTTTGGAGAAATGGGTTACCATGAGGGGTGTAGGATCACATTTCTGCAACTGTACATCATATGTAAAAACTATGATCCATTAGTAAAATGAATGCTACACTAGAAAACTTAATACGAGCTCAACCAAAATTATCTTACAAATAAGTGAGAGCTCATCCATAATAAGGACTCACACGCCCTGAGCTGCATCAGCCACATTTCTTGTGCTTAAAAAATCATTTAATATGGATTGTTTACAAGACAAGGAGATGGAGTATCATATAACCATACTTTTGACATATTATTTGAGATAAAAATACTCTTCCAACCTCATCTGCAAATACAGTACACACTGGTGGTGCATAACTGCCTACCTTTTTTTTTTACCTGTGCTAATGAAACCCAGGTAAATGTGAAATAAGGATCTTGTAAAATACGACCACAAACAACAGTAAGGAAAAAAATAACAAACCACCTGAATACAACTTAAAACCTTGAAATGATACTTATTTAGAAAAAAAGTGTACTACCATAAATAATATATAAGTTTCACAGGTGAGCAACAAAATAAAACACAAATATATAATGGAATGGAGGCAAATGTTTTGTACATAGAAGAGTGTGCAGTACAGTACAGTACAAAGTTTCAACACTGTACGACACAAGCCGAAGACAGAGGGATGATACCTTTGAGGTTTTCATGGGATATGACAGGAATGTTTTTTCCCTGGTTATTTGACTTATTTCCCAAGAATGTCCTTGAGGAGGTTTAACTGAAAATCATGAATTAAAAAACCCAAATGGGTCCATGTAAAAGTTGCACAATGAAATCCAAAAAAATTTTCAGGAGACAGTTAGTAGTTAATTATACACACGTTTATAGTTTATGAAATAATTTGGCTTCTTGAAATATCATTAACACCAGAATAAATAAGTTCAAGGATCAATCATGGTATTCCTGGAAAAGCATTATAATCTCTTAGTATCTTGATTATATATATATATATATAGAGCATATGAATTATGTTAAGATAGCCCTTTTGCTCCTTAAAATTTTCAGATCTGCTGGTGGACTAGAGGGGAGCGGTCTCGGCTCTTGCATTTTTCATTCAAACCAGCCCTATTTTCCAGCGGAATAAGGCATACACTAAAACTGAGAATTTTCATCATTTTCCCCCATGTTATTAATGCCTTTGAAAAGCAAGGATGGAACTCATTTTCCACCCCCCCCCCCTCTTTCGTGTGTAACTTTACCTTCTCTATCTAATCAAAATGCTGTGAAATAGTTGTCATAAGCAATCCAGTAGTTCCCAAAATTCTGGCTTTAACTTGAGAATCCAGTCATAACAATGACCTGTTTCATGAGTACTCAATAATAAAAGTTTGCGCACAATATAGAAGACATTACTGAAAAATACACATGTACAGTCTCATTCAAGATTCTTCGAACACTGCTGGAGACAGCTGGCAACTCAAGGCCGTTTGTTTACTATAGTACTTACAAACATTCAAGTCAGAATCATGAACTCTGATCTAGAAGAACTGAGAAATGCAGAGACCTGGCAGTTGTAGCAATAGTAAATATAAAAAATTTTGTGACGAGAGGTATCGGTATGGCCAGCATAAGGACAGAACCAGACAATGTGATGAAGTCGTGGCCAGAATTAGGCTAGGATACAGACACATTTGGCAAGTTAGTAACGCTGTACCCATACCGGAACACTCAGCATGTAAACTTTGTGATAAACCTTTAAAGAATACACTTGAACACTATATTATTGAATGTGACACTGTCAAAGACTTCAGGCCACCTGGCTTATTGTATCATGAACTTTGTAATTACTACATTGAATCAGGGGTGCTTGAGGACATTCTTGCTGTTTATCCCAAATTTGCTAGCCCACACTGATTAATCTTCAATTAGAATATGACGTCCAATGTATATGAACCACTGTCTTGCATGGCAGTGAACAGTGACATCACCCACATGAATCTGACCTATATATACTGCTAATGAATATGATGTACAGTACTTCTTTGTGTATGAACCTCTGTCCTGTGTGGCAGAGAAGTGATACCACCCTCAGTGTCAAGACTTGGCTGAATTACTCAGAATAGGCAAACTGTACTCCAAGCTTTGTCAATCAATTTTTTAAACTAAAAAAAAAAAACGTATAATATAATACGAAACAAAACAGTCCAACCATTAAATTAAGCAACGGGGAACTAGGTAACCAATCACCGATCACTTTTACATTTATTCATAATTTTTACTACGTACTATAGTAAACAAACGGCCTTGAGTTGCCAGCTGTCTCCAGCAGTGTTCGAAGAATCTTGAACAAGACTGTACCAACAGGTTCTGAAAAATCAACAAAGGAACTATATCCCAGCCTCCTATTCACTGTTTATACTGCATATTGAATAGAGCAAGATATTCATAATTTTGTACAGTTAGCTGACACACCTGTGGGACCCACTGTCACTTTCTTTCACAAGAATTACTAATTCTTGTGAGAAGTGATCTTTGATTCCGACTCTATGGTCTTAACCTTTCCAAGGGTGAAATAAAACTTTAAAACTAGAGCAAACTACAAAGACTTTAACAAGAAACAATATGGGACTCTTCCTGACACTGAACCAGCACACAATGTTCCTGCTACTTAATGCCTAGTTTGGATATGGGCAGAATGATCAGAGGGATAACTGTCTAATCTGGCCATGTGAAAATCAGGTCTAGAAGACCATGGGGGTAAGTCTACAACTTCAAAATGAAAGTAATTAATCCATCAGTCAAAATAACAACAATTGGAAGCTATTAAGCATTGATGAATCAATTAATGAGCAACCTGAGAATACCGTGCCTCTGAAGGAGTATAACTAATGCAACAAACCCACAAAATATAGTGCAATACCATTTACAGTATATTTATTTCTCCTGCACACTTACTTGTAAATGCAACATTAATTATGACACACATACAAGTAATGTAATGTATAAATTTTGGTTGATTATAAGGTAATAACTATAGCATATAAGAACTACAAAATACAAACTTTGGTATGTGTACATAAAAGAAAACTAAACAATAAAAACAATATTAGCAAGATGAATCAACCTTTAGGAAGCAGTATAAATCAATGAATCTTTCAAGTGAATGGATGAAAATTACAAGTACAGGGTATATACAAGAGGTTTCCTCTACTCACACACCTACTGAAGAGACACGTTTTAAAAATGACTGGGAAATAAAGTTATTATACGAGTCGAGAAAATTCATTAATGTTGAGGATACTACTTCTCCGTTCAAAAATGATACAGCACATAGCATGGCACCAAATAAACTGGATGAAATACAGTATTGTCAAGATATCAACTTGAAAAACTTGAATAAAAACTGGTTCCTTGCTCAACTGTAAGAATAACATTACTCCAAAAACAGCATAGCATACTGCATGACCCCACTGTACTTGTGTCTCAGATCTGAATGAATCTGTTGAAGCCCTAAAGAAATACAGTAAAAAAAAAAAAAAAAAAAAACTAACTTTGTCACATTAGATCTAAGGTCCTGTGGTTCTTTTAGATCATCCCTGGTAGAAAACACTACTCCTTTCCTGTGCATACTTTTGGTATCTATGACCTTGACCTCTAAATTTTCAGCAAAAATCCCTTCATCAGTTTCTCAGAGAAGGTTCTTCATTCTAACTACAACTATAAAAACCGTGTGTTTTATAGTTCTCTTGAAGCTCCATCTCAAAGAAATTATAATAAATAAATATTGTTAACATATTTCTCTAGTCTCTATCTATAAGAACTAATAATAGTATCAATAATAAAGTGTTGTTAACCTACTGATATTCAAAGAGCTCTAAAGCTTATTAAAACAGTTCTTATGACATTCAGTTCTTAGTTATAAAAAAAAATTGGTGTTTGTGAACATATGTAGGGAAAACTTTAAAGTTAAGACAAATTAAAGGCATACCTGTATGGTGATGAAAAGGTTCAGAATATGTTTGACGGTGACGAACAGCAGAAGTGTGAAGTGGCTGTACTATATAATGAGGGACATTATAACCATAATTAGTTGAAGTAAGATATTTACTCAAAGGAACATCAGTTATTAATACTGGCAATAAAATATTTTGTTTAAATTTTCATTATTAACAATAACTTAATCATCACAAACACATAACCCCCAAAGTGTGTCTGTTATATCACTGATTACACCTTAAAGCATGGATAATGCTAGGATTGGCTAAAGCAGGACTTCCATACCAGGGGCACTCTTATCCCCAAAATTTAATTGTTGCATTAGAACCACCTAGAGGGAAGGGGGGTAGAGGTAGCAGTAAATACTAATGCAAAAAGTGAAATATCAACACTTCTAACTTTAGGCTACAGCATAAAATGCAATCCTGTGAATATGGCAGTGTGGGTGAATGGTTGATGATACTGGCAGTGAAATATACTCAATATTATTTACTGGTTTATCCATAATCTAATACCTTGAGCAAGGATGGCAAAATGGCAGAGCATAGGTAGACATATCACTAATTATGAAGAACATGAAGAATGACTTTCTTAAATCCTTGTGATACAATGTTTGTTAATAATTGATGAGTGTATGCAGATATGATATTTCATAAATTATTTGTGGTAATATGAATAACCAGGTATCTGTGTTCCTACATGGAGATGAAATCTTCATAATTACTGATACTGTCACAAAAATGGTCAAATAAAAGAAAGACAAAAATAAATAAAAAAAAGACCAAAGTCCTCAGCTCTGTGCAACAGTGCAATACTGTTAAATTAATGTAATTATTTTGGTTGCAAAATAATCAGGTACCTTACAGAAAACTAATGTTACAATATTATTACTGAATCACTTATTCTACAGCACATACACCTTTAGAACTTTGGTAATACTGTATGAACACTAAAAACCCAATCTACAGATAATATTCCACATCATTTGGATTTTGATAAATTAAGGTGAAACAGTTTAAATAAGAATGCAAGAAAAAATAACTTAAATGAGAGGCTTACAAAATAATCTTTAATTTAAACTTGGAAACAAGTCTACCATCATCCCATGGTGATATAGGCAGTACAGATATTTCTTGCAGAAACAATGAAAATCTGTTTGAACTACACTGTAAGCCAAGTTGCATCTCCACTGTTATACTCAGCTTTTCTTGTGGAATTGTGTGAACCGCCTAATTTCAGCTTCAGCATCCTAGGAAAAATAATAAAAAGATTAACACTATATGCATGCTCTTAAATGCACCAATAATACTAATTCCAGCTAATGTTCTTTAATTGCACTAATACTGATATAGTATATACCTGTAACCCACAACATGTGTTTGCATTATACCTATGCAAAATCAAATTTAATCTAAAATTGTCTAATGTTTATTAACACAACTATACTAGAACTGCATGTGGTGGGCAGCAGCCAACGTATGTGAATATCACTGCCAAAACATTACTTTCTCTTTATTTAATTGTATTTATATATATCCATAAAATGTTTAATTTTAATTACTGGTCCAAATAGTTCACATTTTGCTGCCGGATACTGGACAGTGAAAATATCCACTATCTGGCTGGATAGTTTGCCCACTGCAGAATTCTGGTAATTATTATAACAGTTGGGGTAAGTGAGGAAGAAAAGGACAAGTTCTGGGATAAGTTGCTGCATTTAGTGTAGGGACACTGGTTAAGAAGTAATGGGTGTTGATATAAATGACCTTGTTGGTGAACACATGTCAGGTTATGAAGGTGTACCTGGTGGAAAAGGCTTTAAAACAGGACAAAAGAATACACAACTACCTCGTCATTTTGAACTCGGCTTATCAAGAACTTTGCCTGATTCGAACAAATTTTAAGTTTGAACAGGATATCTCTATTGTCTACCACTTGTCTAAGTTTGAATTATATCATCCTGATTCGAAATTAAAAGAATTTGTGCCAAAATTCCAGCCAGGGCACCACCACTCACAAGAAGTCAGTTGCCATTTAAACACACTGCTGTAAACATCAGTTATCGGTCTTTCCCATTATCTTAGCTAACTAATGATAAGTTCAAATAAAGAAGACAGGAGAGGAAAAGTCAGAGGAAAATAACATCTCTTAGCATAATAGATACAATGAAAACTATTGTAAAACTTGAGCAATTAATAAACATTAATTATCACATTATATATTTTTACTCATCACCACACTTGTTACAAGCTCCTTTATCCTGGACTTACCTCCCATACTCAAGATCTCATTACCAGGCCAAGGGGGAAATTCTCAACCATTCCCCACCTGTGATGGCAATTTTTCAAATCGTAATTTCAGGTAGATACACATAGAATGTGCAGCCTCGCAGCTGGGGTGCAGTGCTAAGGCAAGCATTGAGGCGGCTAGCATCCATGATATTGTGACGCAGCGTGGGCACTGACTTGTATAACTTTTCTCTTTTTGTGCCGTTTACACGATTTCGTTATTAGTGTTTAAATCCCCATAATTTTAAGTTTTAATGTTACAATGTACAGTTAAAGGTACTTTTAGGGGTGAATCTAGTGATCTGACAAGAGGTTTCACAGCCAGTTGCCATGACATCACAGGAGGATGAGAATGGTATATTGTATCACCCTACATTATTTACAGAGGGGACTACAGTACAATGGTACTGAGTATTATTCTGCTGTGCTTACCAAGAAACCCCTCCAATCTTAACCTAAGGTGCATACTTATGGACAAAATACACTTTTTTGTTAATAATCAGGGATTTTAAGAACACACCTTAAGCATTAATAGAGGATTAATGAAAATATTTTCATTGGCTACTAGGAATGTACGTATTTTGAATTTTGAAATTTTATAATAGTAAGTACCCGGGGATGAGGATTTATCTCAATACGTACCTGGAAATTTCTTAAAACATGGAAACATTCTGCACAAATTGTTTCAGCTATCGGGATATTACTGTAAACTGTAAGCTGACATAACAAGCTTCCACTATATGATGATATTCCAGAAGTGTTGACGAATCCCAGGAACTAACATTTAATGTACCTGTACTTGCAAGTAGTATTAGGTAACAAACCTGAAGAAGGTGAAGACGACTTGTATTTTTTATGTGCTTGTGTATGAGCAAAGAAATAGCAGTGTGAAGACGCAGTAATTCATCTACAGTAGAGTCCTCAGTTGCAGAAATACAGGATTCATATACAGCTTCTAGATGACTCCAGTCAATCGTTATTCCATTGCACTCGGTGGGGGCACTGCCACTTCCCTGTTCTGATGATGACACTGTTAGAAAAGAAAATGTTAAAACTATATATTTTTTTTTTTACTTAAATAAATGGTAGTATCAGTACTGTGACTTGTCTTTTATCATTCACGGCACTCCTATCAGAGAAGAGGTGTTCACATATGTTCAAAATGCCAGAAACAGTAACATGTTAATGGGATCTTATGAAAGACTTGGTGCTAATAGTGAATTAAGATATCTATTACTGAAGTTTGTCCACCTTATAAATACTCTTTGGAGAAGAGACTAACTATTGTTTAACTCACACTGGACACCACTAAAGGACATGATGGAACAACTGTCATCCATGAATGATTCCCCACTTAGGCCACATTAACATTATATTACAACCTACACATCCTAAAAATCCACATTATCAAACAGTGTAAAAACCCATTATTCAAGCTCTTAATCTTTTCATCTCAATTCTTTCTTTCTTTCATGTGTTCCTGTTACCCTATTTCACCTGAGCCTACCACACACACACACATACCAAAGTTTAACATATGGATGGACAATGCCAAATCATAATACTCAAGAACAGAAGCAGGCAATTATTTTGGCTGCCAGGCCACAACATGAATAGTTGTAGTGTACACTTCTCAGGCCACACACTTAACATAGATGCAAATGCATAATATCCACACAAAGTAAAGCTTAGTACTGGACAGGGGCCTCCAAATTCGCGGGGGTTAGGTTCTCAAAATGGCCGTGAATCGCCAAATGCATGAATAACATTTGCGGACTGGGTGGGTGTGTGTGTGTGTGTGTGTGTGTGTGTGTGTGTGTGTGTGTGTGTGTGTGTGTGTGTGTGTGTGTGTGTGTGTGTGTGTGTGTGTGTGTGTGTGTGTGTGTGTGTGTGTGTGTGTGTGTGTAATAATAATAATAATAATAATAATTAACGGTTTATTGAAAAGTTCTGCAGCCAAGGCTGAAAAATATACATTGGACATAAATGACTTATTACATACATTGGTGGTTTAACAAAAGCCTTCATTAGAGAAAGGTGAAGGAACATACAGTGAATATACAGATTAATGTAGGTGTGTGTGTGTGTGTGTGTGTGTGTGTGTGTGTTACATTTTTACTTGTGTACAAAGAAATGTGTATTCCCTTTAAGTGTTTGCCCTTAGGACAATTATTTCTTTTACCTGTATTGTAAATATGTGTTTGTGTGTGTAACACACACACACACACACACGCAAAACACATACAAATAAATAATAATGGGAAAATACTCTCACAAATAATCAGATACAAATTTATTAAAAATGTGAGTCTACCCTCAAGTCCATGCTTTATTAATAAAGTATTAAAGCACGGACTTGAGGGTAGACTGTCACATTTTTTAGTAAATTTGTTTGTGATTATTTGTGAGAGTATTTTCCCATTATTATTTATTTGTATGTGTTTTGCGCGCACGCACGCGCACACACACACTTAACATACAGGTAAAGGAAAATACTGTCTCTAGAATGAATGACTCCCTGTCTCAGCCTCGAAAATGCCGGCAACTTTAAAACAACCCACTGACATTCCTGAGTACATTCTGGGTGTCAACCACGAATAATAGATTTCCGCGAAATAAAAATCTGCAAACATTGGGGGGGGCCCTGTATTTGTAAATATAGGATATAAGAAATATATAAAGTTACATAATTAGAAATTTGGGGTAAACAAATATATTACTTAGCTTGTGTTGGTGCTGGACACCCAGGTCAGTGGGCACATTATTGAGGTGTGGGTGTGGCTGTCCCTGTCATAAGTTGAGAATGGGTTTCTCAGGTAAGGGTTTACTAACCTCTTTTCAACAGTCTTGCAGTTACTATAGGTGCCCAACTCCCATAGTAATGATCCTTTTTAAGATTCAACAAATATTTTTTCCCTATTGCTAATGCACTGGTCGGCCATAGAAATAATTTGGAGGACCAAATTTGACCCGCAGGCAATATATCTTCCCCACCCCTGATCTAAAAGGCAGTCATCCCACAGGACCCACTTTTACAGGCACAGGTAAGTCAAGTGATTTTACACTAATTTTCCAGCCTCTACTCCCCACCCACAAAATAATTTGAAATTATTGTTAAACTGACATTAAAAGAAAGGGAGAAAGACTTTATTCATGAGTTCAGCCTTCAAGAGTTTCAAGTACATGTGTAGCTTGAAAGACCATATAAAAATTATACTCAGAGTGGTTCATCATGGCCCAAGACTTGAGTCAGTGTATTTCCCTTGCATATAAGTGATAATGAAAGTGGAAAATGACATGGAGATGACAGGTGTATGTTTTAAAAAAGGACATTACAGTACTAACCAACTGAGTCTTCTGCCTCCATTATATTATCCCGGATCTTATCGTCCTTATTCTCCTTGATGCTGTCCCTCGACTCTTTGATGGTACTTGAGGTAGAAGAATGCGCAGCGAGTTCATCAGCAGCAGAAGTTACTTTCATACTGTCGTGACTGTCCTCTGTGCTCAGATGACCATTATACAAAACAACCTCAGAGTCTACATGAACCTGAAGATTGAATTTCTAAATCAGTTAACAGTATATACCTAAATTACAAACAGTATTAAGGTCCATACTGTTAATATGTTTACATTACAGGGTATCATTTAGGTGAAAGGAACACACACTGAAAAAGGAAATCAAAGTTCACCTAACTATATGACAATACAATACCATTTATGCATCCAGTCCCACTTCTCAGTACAGTTGTTCCCATCAAATGTGAGCCTGCTTATATATGCAAAATTATTTGAGACAGTAACCAGCCGATCACGAAGACAAACCTGCCTACAGGTGAACTAGTAAGAATTGCCACTTGTCACTGGTTTAAATTTGCGAATTCACGATTCGCAGCAATTTCCAAGAACGTAACCCTCGCAAATACAGGGGGATAAGTGTACAGTACAGTACCAGATTTAGGGTTATCAGACATAATGGCTCAAACACTGGGCAATGATGGAAAACTAAATGGGAAAAAGCTTGAGCGATAGACTGTAGACCCTGGCCGACTGTACGACACATGTATACTTGTTTAGAGGCAGGCGGTTCCATCCCATGGCAACATATGAATCATAAATATTCATATTGTCTCATAATTCGAAATTTTATCAAATATTGTGAAAATTTTAATATACAGTATGTGGTAATATTTTGAAATGTCTCCTCTCATATTTCAAAATTTTACCAAATATTACAAAATTTGTAACACATTTCATAACAGTAAAACATTATGAATTACAAGTGATTTCAAATTAAGGGGACTTTATATGCATCCCTTCTTTGAATGTATACGGTAAATAGATACAATCACATGCACAGACAAAAACACTCGTAGTTTTTTACTCTTACCTCATCTGCATTATGTATTTTGTCCAAAGAAGATTTTTCTAAATTCCCTTCTTTTTCTTCTGAATTATAAGTCGAGTGGACACTGACATCATCTTCACTCTTCTCCCCATCAACTGCTTGCTTCTCTTCCACTTCCTCTAAAGTGATCTTATTTTCTTCTTCCACAACCTCCTCGTCTCTTTTTATTTCTGGACTCTGTAAGCCCAATTCCTTTTTCTCGGGAGAATCCTTTTCAATAATTCGCCTCCTCTTTTGAACTTTGATTTCACCACGAGCCCAAGCATTTCTAAGCCTTCTCTTACGGCGTCGATGGATATCACCTGTTGTCTTTGCATGTTGATCTGCAATGGAAAATTATCTACATCAAAATGAAAAAATAAAATCCATTCTTCTTGCACAACAACATTGCAGACACCAATCTGTGAGAATAACATAAACAACAATCTTAAAAAATTCTTCCAAATTTTTTCCCCATTTTCAACTAATCACATGTTCAAAATAATGTACTCGGGGCCCACAAATTCGTGGATTTTTATTTCGCGGTCCTCTATTATTCATGGATGACACTCTGGATGTACCCAATAATGCCTGTGGGTAGTTTTAAAGTTGCCAGCATTTTTGCAGCTGGGTCAGGGAGCCATTTGTTCTAGAAACAGGAATTTCTTTTACCTGTATTGTAAATGTGTGTGTGTGTGTGTCGACACACACACATACACATACAAATTAATAAAATTGGGAAAATTCTCTCACACATAATCAGAAACAAATTTATTAAAAATGTGACAGTCTACCGTCAAATTCTGTGCTTTATTACTTTATAAATAAAGCACGGACTTGAGGGTAGTCTGTCACATTTTTTTATAAATTTGTTTCTGATTATTTGTGAGAGTATTTTCCCATTATTTTTATTTGTATGTGTGTGTCTACTCTAAAACTCTACTCAAGTGCTGTAATATACAACCAAATTCACTGGAGCAACTAGCCTTAGACCGTTCCTTATGGCGCTCAACATGCCATAGAGAAGCGGAAACACTTGAGACCTCACTGAACGAAGAGAGCTACTAAACGAGCCCAACGACATCAGAGGGCTCAAGGCATAATTCCTCTCAATGAACAACATTCCTGTCACCTATGCAACAAGTTCTGTGCCTCCAGGATTGGACTCCATAGTCATCTACAGTGGCATCAGAGGAATAACACATAACTCATCAATCATCTCATCTGGAGTAACGTCCTCATCGACTTCGATGGAATGCCATACCTAACAAGCATGCACGCACGCACGCACACACACACACATATACCTGTACAACACAGGTAAAAGAAATAATTGTCCTAAGGGCAAACACATCAAGGGAATATACATTTCTTTGTACACAAGTAATAATGTAACCCTCCTCCCATCAGCAAATGTTATTCACAGATTTGGTGATTCGTGGCCATTTTGAGAACCTAACCCCCGCGAATTTGGGGAGCCCCTATAGTTAAAATACTAGTAAAATAACTCAATAAATCTTAGAAAACTTTAAATTAATCCAATAAAATCGTGGGATGCTATGTCACAAATACCATACCCTATGGAAAGAAATATACAACAGGACCTGAAAAATTACAAAATTCTAATCATCTCTTTTTTCAACAAACTCCTAAGCACATCCATAATGCTGCATACACATTCTAATCTGTATAATATATATACATTTTTAAGTGATTTAATATGAAACTTCTGATAAAGGTTCTATACAATACTGTAAACTTCAATCACTTTCCAATGTAGTTTCTAATATTCTGCAAGCAGTTCATTCACACTGGAAGGAGGTGAAAAGGGATGTGCGCATGAATCTCTTTGCCTGTACTTATTAATGGTGGAATCAAGCTAACAAAAACTTTAAAGCAAAAGACACCAGACAGGCACCAAACACACACACATGGCAAAGATTATGAGATTACCCTACTTATTCTTTGGCAGCTGAAGGGTATAAAGCAGATACTACAGATGAAAAACTGAGAAGACTGACCTATTGTTTCTTGTCGTATACTAGTTGCTTGTGGAGTTACTGTAGCTCCTCTAATTTGCTTCACTGGTGTCTCTTGTCTTTTCTGCAAATATTTAAATACAAAATTATCCATAAAAATAAGACCTTTTGAAAGCCTAATAAACTACCCCAAAAATTTTTATAAATACCGTTTGCTTTTACTTTTCAAATTATTGAATAATGGCTCTGATCTCTCTATGAACATATATAACAAAGGTATATTAATTTAAAGCACAAATTATTTTTAAGAATTTATGGAGAAATTATGATAAAAGAATAATAAAAATAAAGAAACTGGCAATGACTTCAAGAGGGTATAAAAAAAAGGATAAATGCAAATGGATATAACAGCATGACGAATATTTGGTATTTGCAAAATAATTAACTTTTATTCTAACATGAGAGAATTTTGAGTTTAACATTCTTCTTATTTATAAAAAAAAGTCTTACTGAGCTTGATCTTTTTACAGCATGTACTCATTGATTGACTGTAGAAAATTATAAAGACATGAGAGAAGGGGGTAACTAAAATCATCTTTGGTTTAATAATGATCATCGACAATCACTCCCTTACAGTTTTTGTTTAGTATTTAGCCCTTAACCCCCCCATGGGGATAAATCGAGAAAAAATCAATTTTCCAAATAATAATAATAATAATAATAATACAGTGAACCCTCACTTTACGCGGTCAATTGAACCCACGGCGACCCTCGTAAAGTGAGAAACGCGTAAAGTGAGCAACATAACATATGGGATTAATTGAAATAGAGACCGGGCCGACCCCCAAACTCCACTTTTTCAGACACAATACCTACATTGTAGTAAAAATAACTTCTTAATTTTATGATGGTATGCACACACAATTAATAATTAAGAGAAATATCAATAATATTCGGTTTTTTAACACTTACATTAGTAGAAAAGATAGCTGGGCACACGGGGATGGGGGGTTGGTTCCGTGGCAGAGGGCAGATTATTGGCCCTCACCTGTATCACTTGTATCAATTGTATCACTATCCACCACAAAGGCTTGCAGGGCCTCTTTCTCAAACCCCTCAAAGTCCATATCCTCACTATCATTATCACTATCACTGACTTGGGCCGGCTGTGGTGGGTGGCGGGTGAAGAACTCGGTAATGTTTTGATGACTGGGCGACCTTGTGCGCACCCTGCTCGCGCCGCTCTCCGCGTAAAAGGGTACACACACCGCAGAAAGTGAGCATTCCGGTTTCGGCAGGGTACCGCGTAAACATGGAAACACGTAAAGTGAAACCGCATAAAGCGGGGGTTTACTGTAATAATAATAATAAAAAAGGGCGGGAAAATAGGCAGGCGTCCCGGAACGTCACCCGAGGCGCGCTAGTCAGACGTTCTGGAACGTCACCCGGGGCCTAAGGGTTAAAGTGTGCCCCTCAAGCAAATTCACATATGTGGTAGGCTGGCTAGGGATTCATATAATCATGTTTAATTGCTCAAATGTGGGCGAGAAAAGTTATTACAACACAACAGTTGCGGGAGTCGTCCCTAAAGAGTTAATTGAATAATCACTTGCTTGTTACTCATTAAGCAGGACCTTAATGTACAGCAAAGTTATATGTGCAAAGATATATGTACAGTATATAAAAAAAATTAAAAATCACCGATGGCTTCATTTACATGTCAAAGACAACAATTTGTTGACAGCAAGAACAAAAGGTGCACAAAGTGAGGTACCGGTACATGAAAAGACAACAGTGACATCATAAGGAGATAGCATAGAACAACTAGTCATAGATTTAAATTCCCCAAGCAAACCCACATTCTTTGTCACAAGGTTGGTAGGTGCCCGAGCAGTATAACATCAATTTGGTTGTTGAGTAAATTGATACTGTACTGAGTCAACAGATAGTTAAGGTGGGTGGTCAAATCAGGGCAGGAGTGTATGGATTGTCTGCCTTTCTAAAGGTCTCTTCAAATTAAATTTGGTATTATATAAGTAAAGTTTAAATTTCATAATTACTAACTGTTTCTTGAGCCACGTGGATGAATTCCGGAGCCGAGGGTTTTGTTGTGGACTTGTACCGCTCTTGGCGTCTATCTCTGATTTCACGACACTTATCTTCAAAGTCAGTGTCCATTTCAGCCTTAATATATGCATAGGCTGTATCACGCAATGTGCAGGCACGGTGGCGGATGATTTTATCTGGGAAAAGAGATTTACAAACATACTACATGAAAGCAGAGCGATTTCCCCAGACACACGGTGTTATAACTGGAGTATGCTTTCCTGGGAGCCAATTTTCAGATATCTAACACAGCCTAAACTAAATACAGCACAAAAGATATAAAAACAAATTAATCAATACAGAATATCACTAAATGTGAAAATATGCTGATTAATAAATTCCATATATGCAAAAAATACTTGTAGTGGGAATTTGTATAGTGAGGAAAGTCTGTACTGTAATAATTTTTTTTTTATTTTTACTTCCTTTGCTACCTTAATTATACTGCGCTTAATTTTCACTATTATTCCCCATCATGTTAACAATTTCTTGAATTTACTTCATCCATTACATCTACTTATTTTGTATTGACTTAATTCACAGTTACTCCACATCAAAATTTATTCATGTATCCACATCTCCAAATATCTTTCCTTAATTTTAGTACAGTACAGTATTTACTTTGAATCATACTGACTTTACTTCTCCCATCACAAACACTCACCATCCCATCCTATTTCCTTCTAATTTCTCATTTCACCAGAATGTTCTTATCCTACTCCAATACTATTTTCCCTTAAATATTTTCTTCATCTCTCAACTATATGGACTGTATGTAAGTAATAGAGCAGGTGTGATACAAAAACTTAAATTAACCAACCTTCAGGATTGCGATCTGGATTGTACTCGAGAGCATTTTTGCAGATGAGGTCAATGTCACGAAGAAATTCCTGAGCACAGTCATATTCGTGCTGGTCGATTTTTGTCATCATGGTCTCCAGGTCCATTGGCTCCTTGATAATATCACGATAATCAGGGACTTCTTCTTCATCCACAGGTTTTGTGAAAATGTAAAATCTAGGGAAATAAAAAAAAAATAAAATAAACTACTGCAACTCAGAGTATATGATGACTCTCCCAATACTATTTAATGGAGGAAAATAAAATGCATTTAATTAAAAGACTCAATAAGAATATAAAATCAATTTTTCAGATAACCTGATGCTTCCATGTTAAATTCATTTTACATTCAAGAATATTTCATTACTTAATTGAAGGAACAAGGATATGAGATTTAACTGTCTGGCTTTAAGTCAATAGAATACTTGCCAGATAATGTGCAAATAACTGCAGGACAATAATATTGACCAAACCATGTATTCAAACTTTCCTTTCCTCAAACTAAAATTAGTATGAAGTTTAATAGATGGTTAGGATTATTAAGTGCAGTGTTTGAAGATGTTTTAGCTTTTTATTTTTTTATTTTTTTACAAATGATATTTCTTCCAAAGTACACAAAATTTTCAACCTGTGTAAGCCCTCAATAAAAAAAAAGCACTAGGATTTACTTGTAATTAGGAAACAAGTACAGTATTACATTTGTCTAAATAAAGTATTAACTCTTAAACCCAAGTTCTTTGCCTTTACGTATTAATCTGGCTACCAGCTTTTGTAATGCCTTCTCGTTACCTGCAATTAGGATATCATCTACACATCAATTATTGTATTTGATATATCACTTATTCATTAACTCTAATTCCCCCATCGCTACTTACAGCTTCTCATCCATAAATTTTTATTATATCAAGTTGGGAGACAAAACATAGCCATGGCTAACTCTCTGTTGCCAAACCCTAAACCAACTATAGTAGCATTGGGTTGAGGAGTGAGAAAACATAGATGGATTAACCAATCAACAAAGATATTGGTGCACAAAAAAAAAGGGGGGGGGGGGATGGTTCATGTGGATATCCAGCTGAGCTTTCCAACTTACGTTCTGTTTCTGGCCAGCTTTGCACAAATTTCACGGAGGAAAATCCTTAATTCCCTGAGTGTAGCCTCCTCCAATTCTTCTAGCCTTTTCATTTCTTTAGAATTTACCTTCCAGTGCTCAGGCTCTGGTGCTATTGGGAGCTCCTCCAAAGTTTTTTTATTTGAACGAACCTATGGAGTCATTTTAAAAGTTATTATTAAATATCTCATCTATTATTATGGCAATAAAGATTATGAAAAAGTGACATGCACAGCCACAACAAGAAATTTCAATCCATAACCAAAAGAGCATACTACTTTGTGCCATGAAAACTGGCAGAAGCATTGTTCAAATGTCTTCAGCACATGAAGGTTTTAATAAGCTGCCTTTTGGTTGACCAAACAACTGCAATCTCTCTGTCAAGTAGTTACAGTAATAAAATATAGTACATCTTTCTTAAGGGTGCAAAGACATAAGACAAGTTCTGGAATGTGGGAAAAGTAAAAGTACTCAACATAAACTGATTATTTTCTCCAAAATATTGCAAACACCAAAAATTTTATTCCACTGATAAGTCCAAGAAACACATCATTCCAATTTCTTCTAATATTACCTTACTTCTTAATACCACACCACAATCTTCACTGCCCTTACCAAGGCTTGCATACTTATACACAACAACTAATTTTTACTTCCAGGCCCAACCACTAATGTCAGGTTTCATGGGTTTAAAGCAAAGGTTTTGTTACAATTATATTCAAGTCACCTAGTGAAGAGCAGCTGGCCATTATTGAAGTAACATAACTACAGTACTTCCCATCTACAAAACCAAAGTTGAAATGGTAGATTGAATAAATCAATCTTTGTAATTTATAACAGGATTTGTTTTTTCATTCAATTGAAGTGATCACAAACCAATTTCTATTAACCTACTAAAATATCTATCTATCTATCTATCTATCTATCTATCTATCTATATATATATATATATATATATATATATATATATATATATATATATATATACTGTATATATATTACAATGACTTACGAAACTTCTGACCATCCTCAGCTTTGGTGAAGTCTGGGGCATAGTGCAAAAATTTTTTATAACGAATGACAGCACTCTATATGTAGTCATTCAAAAAACCATTTATACAAAATTGTGTTGAGACAATATGACACTGGATGAAGGATCTTGACAGCCCTACCTAGACAACAGGAATTGTAGTGTTCATTCTGAAATTCATCAACCCCTCAAGTACAGAGAGTTTTTGGGTGACTACATAAAAAAAACACTGCTTCCCGTTCCCTGTATCTTCTCAGCATACACCTTGAAAAGCTTACTCTGGACAATGCCTAAATAAAGGAACACTATACAGGTACACCACCGATTGTCCGGGAACTGATGGTCCAGCACCTCCTTTAGTCTGAACAAAATTATGAGAGGGTACTTACCCCCCCCCCCCCCCACTCCCAGCCAGGGTGAAGGTCGTTTTAGGCTAAAAGTTTTTATCATATCAATGTAGCTGACTAGACCGAGCAGAATAAAAATTACTTTGCTGGAATTCTTGTAAGATCGTGGTTAATTTGAGTATAAACATCACATAGTTTGCACAAGAGATAGAAATTTTAGTCTAGTGTAGTACATTGAGTACAAAGTGTGTACAGTAATGTTGCTCAAAATTATGTTTTTTTTTCACATTTAATTTACATTTAACATTTGTTTAATTTATGTTTATAGCAGTCCATGGTGTTTTAGAAACACGGGAGGTGTATCATTAGTGGGTCAGAGGTATATTGATGATTTATTATTACCTGACCTCGGTCGGTCCAGCAAAACGGATAATCCGACAAGGCTTTGGAACTACGGGTGCCGGAAAGTCGGTGGTAGACCTGCAATAATTTTCCCTGACCAAAACTACATAATATTGCTGAAAATTATAATAAGATAAACTTAAGACAATAACCTTTACCATGAGGAATTACCTTTTGCTTTGCAAGCATATCCGTGTAAAATATGGTTTTAAAAAACTGTCTCCTCTCGGCTTCTAAAGGGTTGGATACTGTCATCATTTCTTCACGATAGACACTAAATAGCATCTGTACCTGGAGATTTAAGAACAATATTTCATCTAATCAATCAAAATGTAACACAATATTACAATATCATAAAATATTTTTGGATGTTCCTGGCCAATATAATTTTACCTCACATCAGCAGAATTCTTCAGAGGCAGTGTTTAATCAGGCATGACTACTGTAATATTAATACTGTATCATCTTATACTGTACAGAGTTGTCAATGACTGACTGATAAGGTCACCTAAAATTCTAACTTGATCGGTTGTTTTATTTCCAACCGTATCAGTTAATGACTCTTAAGAGACTGTTTATTGTGATGAATATATACTAAAGTTACACTGAATGAGTAAATGGTGAATGAAAATCTGGTTTAAGGAGCTTGTGTGTTAAAATAGGTAAATTCAAAGAAATTCTATTCGAGATAACGAGCAAAATTACTAGTAAACCAGCTAGCATTAACCTTCATGGAGTGGGAGTGGTCATGTTTTGTCATTGGTTGAGTGGCCAGCTGGGCTAGTGCACTCATAAACTCGTTTTCACACACACGTGATTGCACTGTCATGGGAAACATTTGTATTATAACTAATAAAATGATTACTATAATAATTGTATAACATAAGTATGTTATTAATTAATGCACAAAAAGTAATCTAAAGTTAATTAGGTAAGTGTAATATAATCTTCAACTGTATTGTTATGTACAGTAATATCTAAATAAAGTACTGTACAATAAGACCAAAATGTACATCATGCCAGAGGATTCTGACAAACAATAAAGCCAGCAGATATGATGCTTGGGTAATCAAGGCAATGGGATGAAAAGCCAAGAAGTTTGATATTGTTTTCAACATGATTTAAGAATCTGAAATTGCAGATTTTTCAGAATCAGAAACAAGTAATTTTTCAATGGTTTTAGGATAGCATACAGTTCAACTGTAAAATTTGAGACATCTTTTTGGTATGTTCCCATTGTTAGTGCAGCTTGGAAATACCATGAAATAACATGGTGGAATGATGAGGTGGACAGATGAGTGGTGACAAGAAGGAGTACCTGGAAGTCCAGATGGGGCCAGAAGAGAGGTTTACATGGTTAAGAGTAGTGAACAGGATACCTTTGCATATACAGTAAGCTGAATAATGCAGATGCTGGAGGTGAGGTATACAGAATAGCAATAAGAATACAGGTAGTGGGTAGATACAGGGACCTAGCTGGTGAAAAGTGTATGAAAAATGACTCTGAAAATGTGATTACTGATAAAGAGGAAATCAAGGAAGCTTGGAGATAATATTAAGATCATTTGCAACAGAGCACTAAAAGAACACCTAGAAAGTATTATGCATGAATGATACGAGGGTGGTTTCTGAGAATGTTAAATGTCAAAGCATTTTAGGGTGAATGAATGAAACTACAACATAAGAAACATTAGGGAAAATATTTTATCAATTACAAAAATTTTGCATTACTGTAAACATATGGATGTAGCCAAGAAAATACAAAATGCACCATTCTCATTAACGCTGTACTTACATCACTATCCAGTTCATCATATGGCACATCTGATGTAGCTAACAACAACAATGGAGATGAAGGATCCATATCAAGCAGAAGAGACATGAAAGTTGCACGTAAGGTTTCTGAAGTTGTTCCCCACCACTGTTCGATGTGTGGGACATAAATGATGCTCGGCAGACTACGGCGTGCCTCATGAAACATCTGTAAAAAAAAATACATTCATAAATGCCATCTGATACAGTACATGAAAGACTTGGAACACACTTTTACTGTGCAAAAGTGTCTTTCTAAGGAGTGGGCTAAGGTATACCCATGTAACTGGAAATTCATGATTAAAATAATCATCGCCAAGGATAGCAAAACCACAAGATTCATCACCCTAACATAATTATGGAAATGCTTCAAACCAACTTATTAAGTATTGCCTGTTAATTATTTTTTATCAAAGGTCCACTATCAAGAACCAGACAATAGTGGCATTACATTCAGTAATATAAATTCACCTCAAACATTATATGCTAAAATTCTGCAATACTGCATAGACTTATGTATTACCACCTCCCCAAATTGTGACCCAGAGCTGAAAACAAACGTTTCATAGAAATAGTGCATTGAAATCAATAAAGGGGCAGAACTTCTATTTGCCATTGGATTTCCTTAAGTTCACTTATTCCTTTTAAGATTTAACTACGGTACTGTGTTTCATTGTCTTCTTTCCTTCCCAGGAATGTTCCTACCCAAGAAATTTTAGACTCTATGCCCCCAAAGAAATGAGTGAGAAACCAAACTGGCCCAATGACCTAGGCCACACCCTACTCCCAAAGGTACTTAAGTAGGTACATGTATTGCCATTCCAAAAGAAATTCCAGATATGATTGGCATCTTGACAACACTTTTCTTATTAAGACAATGTGGTCTACTAACCTATCCATTTACCCTTAGTCAAAGAAAAAAATTGAAAAGGGACTCTTGTCAAACCAGGTTATTAGGAGAAAATCCTGGAGGCAGGATGACATCTAGGATTTCCAACATAAATTAAACCCTGTTCCTAAAGAATTCCATGGCCTGGATTACAAAACCTCCTCTAACTGGTCAACAGATCCCCCAAGATGGCATGAGCCCAAGATCAAGCCTTACTATCCAATGCCTTAATAAATATATTTACAATCTAACAATTGACACTTTGCATCCTACCAGTCTGTCAGCTTTACACCAAGCTAACTGCAAAAGCCACTTACACTAGTTGACCATGCATGCCCGAGTCCCCATCTCACAAATTCTATATTACCCTCATATTTCCTCATTTATTTTTTATACACATAATTTATTCAAAATTCATAAATTAAGTAAAAGCATAATGAAAAAACTGGATAGAAATTAACTACAAACAATGATCTTTGGCTATGCATAGCAATGAAACAGAAAAATAAATGTGTTTTTTAATGAGGGTGTTCATTCTTTGGGGGTGGGGGACCAATCAATGGTGACTAATCCTCAAAATTCCAGATTCATATCAGTTCTGGGGTGTATGCACATCTCCAAGCCAAAATTCAGCTCTCTATCTTCAAAAGTGTAGCCATGCATAGCAAACTTCCACACATACAAACAGACAATGTGCTTATATATAAAGATTCATGAGTTGTGTAAAAGTATACTGAAGACAAATTATGATAATCTTCATATAATTTGAGGAGTATAAGTGGAATACAGATTGTATATTTTTTGTGGAAAACCACATTAAAATGACGAGCAGATGTGATTTGATTTGATGCATGCAAAATATCAAATGCAACAGTGTTAATAGGAAATAATTATAAGACTAACCCAAAAGGTCTCTTGGTGTCCAAAACACCAAACACCACCAACCTGGATATACTTCTTACAGCTAAACTATGGAACAAGAATCTATCACACAAAAATAATCCCCTAAAACATTCTAAAATACACACAAGCCAGTCCTCCATAAAGGGCACCACAAATGCCTTCCTAAAGTCCTACTACTGTACTTTAAAACTAGAAAATGATGGTTCTTAGGCATATTAGACCAGAGGAAATCCTTCTGCCAACAAGGCATTCTAAGAACAGTGCAGGAGAAGTGAACTTCACATATCATCCTAAAATCCAATTCCCCTCTGATTGGGTCATTAGCTCATCTGCCCTTAGCATGAAAGGAGTGCATCTTTCACTTCTTCCTTAAGCAGTATGAGAATCACATGCTAATTCTTGGAATACAAAGTGCAGATGAAGGGTTAATCCCCTTTACACATACATTCACTACCTCATCCAACATATGATTCTTGTTTCCTTTACTCTCTGACAACAGTTGACCATGAAAGACCATCCTCTGGTCCCTTCCACAAAAAATTATTATAATTGAATCATTCAGAAAATTCCAACTGCGATTAAAATTATCTAGGGCTGGTGCAATCAGAGGGCACTGAAACTATATCCTAGGACCCTTCCATTAAAGCCATAAACAGTTCAAAATGGGAGGCAGAAGTAACACCGTAACATTTTTTTAATACCCACTATCCTTGGTCTCACCCTGCTTGTGATCTAAATTAGTGATGCAAATAAAAATACATCGGGCCATATTATCAACATGAAAATATACAGGAAGGTAGCAAGTCAAGATGGTATCACAAACAAAATAAAAAAAATTGCAAACAAATTTATAATGCTCAAAAGACTGCCATACAACATTTTTAACATTGCAAAATATAAAACTCTGCATTAGGGACATAATAATCCAAAATTTATTTACTCTTTAAGACTTTCTTGGAAACTTTATACAGTTTAAGTAAGGTGACCTTGACATCATGATAGGCCAATCACCGAGAGCAGCACCGAAAGCTGGGGCACCAGTGACAAATAACAACCAAACACTAGGAATCATAAGTTGTACTGTCAAATATAAAGATAGAAGATCCATCAATTTTATCAGTCTCTCATACATTCCACACCTTGACGACTGATGGAAAGCATACCTTCAAAACGATGTATCAATAGAAAAGGTGCAATGCAGTGTCACTAGGATTATTCCTGAACTGAATCATCTCAATTATTCAAGTAAGACTGATGGCCTTTGGAGTGACAACTCTTCAGACATATGGTATCAAAAGAAGGCAGACCTCAGAAACATATTCATAATCTTAGAAGGAATATGGAAGACATACATCTAGATTTATTTATTCTTTTTTTTTATTTTTTGAGATGCAAAATGCCCAAACACAAGGAATCACAGTTTCACGCTTGCCAACATGTCATGCAGAATAAATTTAAGGATGTACTTCTTCATGCAGTGTGGTAGATGTATGGAACAGTCTACCAGCTCAAGCTGTGGAAACAGAACAGTACTGGGCTTCAAAATAAACCTGGGAAAGACTCTCAGATTGGATAAATTAAGTATAAAGGCAATAATTCTGGGCTTTTATTCTGAATGCCAAATGACACCTCCTATAGACTGTTCACTTGAACCTTACTACCGAGCCCTTGGGTCAGTTTGTAACAAGGCAGCTGATTAGCTGGCAAATAGATGTGGGAAAGGGCACTAGTACTTTAGTACTGTATTTATACTCTGGTATGTTGATCTTAGATAATTATCGCACTTAGCGAAGCAAAAATTAGCTTGTGAAAATCAGTGAAAGTTTCAACATCCTCCACTGCACTCAGTGATGTCATGCAGCGACGAGGAATTTACGTCTCGGGATTTGTTCTTGATGTTCGTGTTCTCTTCAAAATATTTATGTTAACAGAATATCTCACAAGCTAACTTTTGCTTCAAGCGCAGAAATTATCAGGGATCAAGACAGAATAGTTATTATCACTTAAAATATCATAATATAAATATGCCAGGTAGTAGGTAGTAGGCAGCTTCCAAACAGGGTGGTACTACCGCCTGGGAAGATATTGGAAGCATAATGTGCTGTCTAATGGTAAACCCTGCTGCCATATGGCATCTCAAAAATTGTGACCAAGCCCCAGGTTGCTGATTTGTCTTTCTGCCTCATTTTCACACAATTGCTGGGTCTCAATTGCCTCTCTTACTATTGACAACAAAACATATACAGTATAACCTTTCTCACTTTTGATCTGTTCTATTTTTTTATTCTCCTATGATATCAGTTGACAATAATATTAAAGCGAGGCCTTCTCGGATGGGTCCCACTGGTCGGGAAGGTTGTGGACCCCAGGGACGACCTGATCATCATCAAATACTGGGGCCTCAACTGACGTCACCACGGTTGCTGGAGAATCGGCCTTTTTCACACTTCATTTTTCCAACATTCGCGGCCTGAGATCCAACTTTCCTTCTGTGGAGCACCATCTTTTAACCTCTTCCCCGAACTCTTAACTACTATTTGAACGTTACTGACCAAAGCAGATTCACCCAAACCTTTTCAAGTTTCCAACTACAACCTTTATACCTCTTTCCATTCTAAGGAGGTGTATGCACCTACTGCAACACACGTTCACCTATAGCTTGAGTCACGGATCTTGATTCTTCTCTTCATGATGTCATCTGGTTCAAAATATCTCTACCAACTATGACTATTTTTTTTTCTATACTGTTCTCCCAACTCTACCAACTCTTTAACTATCTCACTTCTTGCCATGAGTCGTTGCTATCCACACACCCCAACACTGAGATCCTCTGCCTAGGGGACTTCAATGTACATCACAGAGAGTGGCTTGGCTCTGCAAGGGATGACCCAGGTGAAACTGAGGCACTCTTTTTCCTTACTTAATGATCTGGAACAAATAATTAAACAACCTACACGTGTTCCTGATCGACACGGATCAACTTACTAACATTCTTGATCTTTGTTTTACCTCTAACCCCTCACACTATTCATACTCAATTTCTGCCCCTTAGAATCTTCTGATCACATTTTTATTTCTATTAACTCAAACAGGGCACGACCATTTCCCCACCCCCTTCTAAATGCCAACTATGGCACTATCAGAGGGCAAACTGGCGATTCTTGCAAAAATTCTTCTCTGACCATTTCTCTGTGAATGTCGGTCACACAAGAACAACCCGTTACAGTACATCCTTCTTCTGTGTATCCATACTCATACAATCTGTCTCACTTCAAAAAGCTGGTTTTCCGGTATCTTCGTGGTGTATGTTAATATAATCTTTTTCTTTTCTATTTTTTATTTCTTTTTACTCTCATTTTTTCGCCCCCAGGCCCCGTTGTGGGTTGATGACCTGTGCCGGGTGGGCTATTGCCTGTAGTATAAAATAAATAAATAAATAAATAAAATAAATAAAATAAATAAAAAATTAAAAAAATTAAAAATGTAGTGACCTTCTGTGTCCATCTACCAGCCAATCAGCTGCCTCGCTATAAAATGACCTTAGGCCTCAGTTGCAAGGTTTGAGCGAAAAGACAGTAATCTCCCCATTAGCCAGAATCTCCAGTCCCAAGAACTCTCCAATAGCAAGAATGAATTTTGAACCTTCCGGAAAAACTCTCTCCATTCTGGGCATTGTTCCCTCGCTTGCTGCTGTTTTTGCATACAATTATTTTGTACAGTACTGTACATTACAGTACCAGGACACAATCAGCCAAGTATACAGTGTTAAAGAAGTGTTAAGATGTAATAAAGTGATTACAGTTATCTGTACTGTACATTCAGTGTGAAAGTATTGTACTGTACATAGCAGTGGACAGTGTATGCCTATTGTAGGCTAGTGTGTTGAGGTGTATGTACAGTACACAGTGCGTGTACAATCCCTCCTTCATGGAGGGAGAGGAGAGTGACAGTTAGCAACACTTGCTACAGTAGATGGTACAAGACAAAGGCAGGCCATCCTGTAACATCCTACATCCTAGCATCATTTGGCCTGTCTGCATGACAACCTCATGACAACAGTATCTGCTGTTGAGTACAGTATACCGTATATACTGTAGTATAATTTGTTCATTTACATTAAATTGTACATGTACAATACAGTGGTTTTTGCATAAATAAATACAGCTCTGTGTCTGTCCGTGCAAAATGCGCTGTTTAGTCTCTCAAAAAACTTTCCTTGGCATCCAGAAACATTCCGGGAATGTGCGATAGTATCTGCCCATGCGAGATGCGTAGGTTAGACTCTCAGAAAACTTACCCCAGTACTCGAAAAAATTCCAGGGATGAGAAACTCGTCTCAATACCCGGAAATCTCTCATTCCCGGAAGAGCTCGACACCAATTATTCCGGCTAATGGGGATATCACTGCATAGACACTTTTATGGGACAAAGGTTGTGTTGGGAAATTTACTACAGGTATATTGTGAATTACCTGTCAGGGGTCCTAGGAATCCGGTTCATGAAAGTACTGACTGGACTCAGGTCATTCAATCCAGGTGTAGTTAAAAAAAAAAAAAAAAAAAAAAATTCTATTTCAACCTTATCATTCATTATATTCTCCTAATTGTGCAATTAACATTATGCATTCTGATAACTACCAAATCTAAAAACACAACACCTCTTCACGAAAGCAAACACAAACACTTCATTAGGATAAACTTTTTGTATAACTCATTTAAGACTTACCTGTGCACATGCTTCTTCGGGTGCTCGTGCTGATACAGAATATAATGCCGCAAGATCCAATTTATGAGTAGGGACCCTTTCAAGCGAATGAATAATTGCTGGTGCTAGATGAGTGCTCTGACCTTGAGTTCTCAACCCAGTCAGTAGTAATCTTGGTCTGTGTGTAGTATTTCTCTTCATGTTTGATGGAAATTTTGAAAAGGCTTGAGGAAAGCTTTCTGCCAGTAATCTTAGAGCTCTATTGAGTGAGGACTGGAGTAAAGGTTGTACAATAGGGCTGAGACGTCGACCAACACTGGCAGCTGACCTCTGTCCTGATGCAACTAACTTCTTCATTGCCACTCGAAAGTGACACAATTTTATCTGTTGCCAAAACATTATAAAATATAATAAGCTGTAAGTGTTTCATCTATATGAAGTAAACTTGGATATACTGTATTAAGATTTAGTAATTTCATGTGCAGTATACACGATTTACCTACAAACTAAGAACAACTTTTTTACACCATACTTACATTTATTGTAGACACATCAATTAGAAGTTTCTGTTTGGATGAGTAGATCTGTGGATATTTACTTTTGAGAGCTATTAAAGCTGATTCAGCACAGAGTGACTTTAAATCAGCACCACAATAGCCAACAGTCTGCTCTGCTAAGTACTGTAAAACTCGTTTACTTGGAAGTGGGTCCCAACTCTTGGTGTGAATCGTTAAAATTTGTAGACGTGCCTGTCACGAGAAAGGAACTTTTTAAGACATTAAGGTATTCATGCCAACAATTTATTTGGTCAGCATCAATACACTGCATATATACTGTTGCTGTAATAGAAATGTGCAGGGATGAAAAGGAAGTCTGAAGTGAAATAAGTTCTTGGGCGACCATCTTTATTCCCCATAACCTTATGTCAGTTGAAGAATCACCGTAGTACTACTACTACTACTACTACTACTACTAACTGTTTACATTTAATGCATTTCTATTACCAATAGTATCAGAGCATACTTGAACCTGGTCACATGAGAAGTTATCAATTTATCTATATAACAACTTAAAGGCACTTTTAGTAAAATTAAGGTAAATACACAAGCATCAAGACCTACATGTCTATTATAATAAACATGTCCTTAACTCTAGTACAGGAAGCCCCCCAACTTACGAATGCCAGCCAATACGAACAAGGTTAAACTTTAAATTTATACTATTCTATTTGCCTGATATCACCGCCTGCAGGGAACCTCGGGGACAGTGTTAATAAAATGTTAGAAACAGTTTAGTTTTGAGATGAGTGAAGATGTAGGAGAGGGGGAGTGGAGCGAGCTGAAGGGATGTTTACAGCTGAGCAGTCCTGGTTTCTGCTGAGTAGACAGTTCTGCAGGTGGCAGTGACTGTCTGGCCTTCTATGTACTCTCAGACCACCCCCTTACAGCCATACTGTCAACATCTCCACCCTCTGCTGGCATTAGACCCGTAACACGTAAGAGTGAATTTGGTGTATCAAATAATCAGCGTATACGAGAATTATTTATCTTATAATTGTACATTCTTTAATATAAGCCTTAGGCAAGATTATAGATGTAAAAGTAAATGAATAGCTCAATGCTGTTCTGTTACTGTGTCCTGCTATGATTATTGTGTCTACAATAATTACGTTAAGCCTTTACATCATGCGTTAAGGAATTGATTCACTGATATGTAATTTGTATTAACAGGTTATGACCAAATTATATTGTTCGTGTCCATCGTGACGGGTCTCATACTACAAGTCCACAATCGTCTTAATTGGCGATTACACCTGATGACTTATTTTTTTACTTTCATTTACCATATTTTGTCATTTATTTCTTCTTTTCTCTTAAATTTAGTGATTTTAGATAGATATAAGGACTTAGGCTATGATATAGTGGGATTTTAAACATTGTTCTGTAAGTATGGTATGCACATAGCATGTGTTTTGACTTGAGAACATCCTCAGGAACGGAACCCATTCGTAACCTGGGGACCCCCTGTAGTGTTAAACATAGTACCTGACAATTTCCACATCCCTTAAATGCTCCCAGACATTTCTTTTTTAATCATTTTGTTGATGAAATTCTAATATCTAATCAGTTTTCCACTTTCATTCATTATATAGTACACAATCTCCAACGAAATACGAGGTCTGACAATTAAGTTCGCAAACTCACATCATGGCTCAACAGGCAGCAGCACTATAATGACTGTGAGTATTGTGTGTGTGTGACCTTGATCCTTTCTCTTACTACTCCAGTTGTGTCGTCGATCTCAAGTGAATCAAACTTGTGCAGTGGCAGCTATTGTATTAAGAGTGTTTTCTGGTTTTGTCGCAATAATGACAGATACCTGTATTGTTTTAAAGCAAAGAATGAACATCAAGTTTCTTGTGAAACTGGTGAAAACTGGGCCTGAAATTTGAGACATGATAACCCAAGTTTATGGGGATAATGCACTTAAGAAAACATCAGTTTACGAATGGATTAAGCGATTTTCTGAGGGAAAAGAAGATGTGACAGACAATGACAGAGGACGACCAACAACGAGCAGGACAGAGGAAAACGTTGAAAAAATTGTGCGAACTGAGAGGCAACTGACAGGGAAACAGTTGGAAAAGGTTTTGACAGAGGATTTGAAGATGAGGAAAATCTGTGCGGAAATGGTGCGGAAAAATCTCAGTGACGAACAAAAACAAGGAAGAGATGAAATTTGCTCAGACCTTTTGGAAAGAGAAGCTGGAGATGACCTGCTTCACCGAGTCATTACTGGTGATGAGTCATGGGTCCACCAATACGACCCTGAAACGAAACGCCAGAGCGCTCACTGGAAGACAGCAAACTTGCCGCCCCCAAAAAGTGTAGCAAGTCAAAGTAGAAAGTGAACACAATGATAATCACTTCTTCCAATTCTAAGGGTGTAGTTCACAAAGAATTTGTTCCCGCCAGGGCAGGGAGTGAACCAGTTTTACTATCTCACCGTGCTTAAGAGACTCAGAGAAAAGGTTAGACAAAAACACCTTGAACTATTTGCTGGAAACTAAGTGGATTTTGCATCATGATAATGCCCCAGCGCACACGGCATTGGTTGTGCGGGAGTTTTTGGCCGAGAAACAAATTACCTTGCAGGAACCCCCCCCCCCCACTCACCTGATCTGGCCCCGCGTGACTTTTTTCTATTTCCTTCACTGAAGAAACACATCAAAGGGATGCATTTTCAAGACGTGGATGGCATTCAAATTAGCCCGATGGCAGCTATAAAAGCTATTCCAGAAAGTGAATTCCAGAAATGTTTCCAGGGGTGTAAGAAATACTGGCTTTCGTGTATAGCATCGCAAGGGGAATACCTGTACTGTACTTTGAAGGGGACCACAGCGCAGATACTCAGTAAGGTATGTACCGGCACCTGTAGTATGAGTTCGCAAACTTAATTTTCAGACCTCATATTGCAAAGTAAACCTCATTCACTCCATAATTCTCAGAATTAATAAACTTTACCTAAGCAACCTAAATTTTCTTAGCTTTGTTCATTATATGACTGTATCAAAATCCTTTTGTGTCTTAAGTTACATACCTTCATTGATGGAAGAGGAAAACTGAATTCTCGATCAAAGCGGCCCGGCCTACGAAGAGCAGGATCAATGGCATCAATTCTGTTTGTTGCTCCTATTACAACAACTTCTCCACGGGAATCTAGTCCATCCATAAGAGCTAGAAGCGTAGACACTATACTGGAGTGGATCTGATCCTGTCTAGATGAACGAACTGGAGCAAGTCCATCAATTTCATCGAAGAAGATTATGGATGGACGCAGCTGATAAGCCTGAAAAATGGAGCCCAAGCATTATAATAAACCTATAAACCCATACTTACACAAAACACCAAAAATAAAATATAATGACAATGAAATTAAAAACACTATTTTGCGTTGCCTTTAACAATGGCAAGAGGACCTTCTCTTCACTTGAAAGGAAAGTTGTATGCAACCAGCATGATATTTATGATGTTGTATGGTTGTTACACATCACATAAAATGTGATGTCGAGAGATAGGAAACCCTACTCAGAGCTATGAAGGTGGCTGAATATTGAGACTATTGGTGGTTTTGTGAGGAGGTGGGCTTTTATGATTCAGGCTTGTGGAAAGATTGAAGGAAACCAAGTGGGTTAAGAAATGATTGAGTTTAAATGTGGAAAGGAGGAGAGTTAGAGGTAAGCCAAGAATGACATGGGAGGGGTGTGAGAAATTATCTCCGAGATAAGAACCAGATAAGAGAGGCTGCAAGAGACCAAACAGCTTGGAGATCTGCCATCAGGTAGTCACAATTAACCCATGCAAATATAAAAAAAATGCCCATGAAATAATGGTGGCAGAGAATGTGGTGGTGATAATTATGTCAACTGACTTTGGGGGAGAAATTTGCTGCTGAAATAATAAGAGTAAACCATATTTGTGGCTTTGTTGTGGAAGAAGAGTTCCATAGCATAACACATTTATTTTACAACATTAATACAGTCATGCGTCGCTTTACGTCCGTCCGAACGTCACATTGCATATACGTCCGTGGCCCATAAAAATAATAAGAAAATAATAGGGATAAAAAAAATCCGTTCAGACAACGGGACGTAGCAGACGTAAATGGCCTTAGAGTGGGTGCGCTCACGCATGCATCACGTGTTCTTAAACAAAATAGATTGTGCTGCCAGGCATATGATGATACAGTACAGTATCTACTGTATACTGTATATCCATAATATTTTTGATAGATATAAGAAATGCCTATGTTACTCGTTTATGTTTTTTGGCTATTGTAGTGTACAGTACAGTACTTTTAATTTGATTTCCTTACTTACGAAATAAAAAGTTTACAAACTGTATAACAGTGTATGCTTGGTTTTGCCTCGTCGGCAGCGCCGCAGCATCATCAGCATCCAAATAATTTTAAAATGTAAATCTTAATTTTAATTTACTGTATACAGTACGTATATAGAAATAAGAAAAGTCCATCAGATTTAAGGATACGATACTGCATCTACCTCTCAATCAGTGAACAGAGTACTGTTTAATTTTACTTTACTATACAGTACTGTACATGCTTTACTGTACGTAAATTATACCTGTATTTTTTTACTACAATATATTAACTAATGTAGACATTATGTTATTTTATTAGCCTTCTTAACCTCTGTGTTTCATTAGTTGTGTACATCATCTAGTGAATTTAGTCAATATTGTACAGTACAAGTACACTGCAATATTCCACATATACGTAAGTATAAATACAAAGTTCACAATGTGATGTTCGGACAACGTCCAATTCGGTTAACGTCACGTTTCCAAGAACGTAACTAGGGACGTTAAGTGAGGCATGACTGTATTAAAAGAATGAAAATGAATGATGGAAAATATGTATGTACAGGTATATACTGTACTGTATTGCATTTGTTCCTGGCCATCCAACATTAATGAAAAGGTTGGAAAGTGAAAAAAATATTATATACAGGAAAGTCTCTGGTAACGACGGTTCTACTGACGACGATTCATATTTAAGACCCTGGTTAATTTAGGACCCAATTCAGTTTACACCATAATTTTCTTCATATTTACGATGAAAATAGAAATAAAAATAATGTAAAATTTCATTTTCATATAAATAATAACTAAATCCCAATATGCATTAAAAAAAGAAGAAAAAACGCCTTGCACACGGAGGATGCCGGGCTTGTGAGTGGTAACGCCAGTAGCAGCTTGGCGAGTCTTGTTTTTACAGATCTGAACAGGAAAAGGAGAAAAACATTCTCTGGTTTCTTACGGCGTTTTTGCATCCCTATTCAACATGAGCAAGAGAGCAAGTGAGCTAGTTCAAAAGTAAAAAAAATGTGAATAAGCTTAGCCGAGAAAGTAGATGTGCTAAGACGATACGAAAAGGGTGAGAGGTCTGTGGATATTATATGGAGCAAGCAATGAACATATTTTCTGAAGTGGATCCATTAACAGAACAAAGCATTAAAATTAACAGGGACGTGAAAAATGCATATGACCTCTACATAAAGATGTTTAATGAGAAAAGAAAGCGGATGTGAAAGGTTCTTTCGACAGCCTCAACCATCAACTTCAGCTACACCATCAAATTCAGCATCATAAGCAGCTTCAGCAAAAACTTTAGGTTCAGTAACAATTTCAGCAACAGCTATGACATCTTTATGGAAAGTTTCAGCTTCAGCCAGAGTTGAACCTACAGCATCAACCAGAGTTGAACCTGATGACTTCGTCATTTGAGTAAAAATTCGCACAACATTCATTGGCTGTCCTTATGTTTTAGACTTTATCACCATTGGTGAGTTGAATTTTTGCTTTACATTAGTAATTATTTAAAACATATATGAACAGTAATAAGTGTTGCTTTCGTATTCTTATGTAGAGAAATGACGATGCTTTCACATGTACGTAGGCACTTACATACGATGGCGTTCCCAATCTATTTCGTTTTTCCTTTACCATTAATGGTTAGCTACTTCTATTATTTCATTTATTAACATTAAATAACATTACTTAAAACATATATATTCATTTTTTTTTTATTATTTTTACTACAGCTACGTCCAGGGTCTTATTTTCTTCAATTTCTTATGTAGAACCATCGTCACGGTTGTATACACTCACGAAAACAATGGTGCACGGTTGTATACACTCACGAAAACAATACCATCTCGTCTCCTCTAGTGTGTTTTAATATTCTACATATTATTAATGAGCTGAATTGTTCATTTTGCATATACAAGGGGGTATAAATATTAATTCAATCAAATATATATTCAGTAATAAACAATAATGAATCTTTTGTACATATTCTTAATAAGATAAATGACGCGGTTTCCTTGAGGGCACAAGTATTCATTGCCATTCCACTACCACTCTTTTTTTCTTTAACATCAGTGGTTGCCTTTACTGTACATTAAATAACATTAATTAAAACATACATATTTTTTTACATTAATTTTACTACAGCAACTACCAGGGTCTTATTTTCTTCAGTTTCAGATGGATACCTGACATGATGGGTACAAACACTGACAACAACAATGGCGTCCCTTCTTCTCTTGTGTGACATATCCTCACGGGGAAACATTACCGTCGTTATTCGAGGCTTTACTGTATATAAGTAAATAAAATTAAAGGAATAAAGTACATTATTAATATAAATCACCTGATCAAACAGAAGTCTGAGCTGTCTCTCTGATTCTCCAACCCACTTGCTGAGACAGTCGGCACCCTTGCGCATGAAAAAGGCCACTTTTTTGCCACCAACGCCGCATTCATTAGCAAGTGCTCTTGCCATAAGAGTTTTTCCTGTTCCTGATGTGAGACACAGTATTAAGGAATATTGTCATATATATTATTGAATGTGTGAAATATTATGCCAGTAATAAGAACTCATTTGTTAAAATCACTCTTACTTGCTCTCACACATCCACTTATAATTGTTGTAACATACCTATAAACCATTCAGTACCATACTCTCCTACCAGGGCTTCCTTGATATGTATCCCCTCATATCCAGAGCTTCTTTCTCCCTAGTGTTCCATCTCCTCCTTCGTCATCCCCTTTCCACCCTATCATCCACCTCTGACTTACAAACACTCTTAACCAATCTTTAACGTTACCTTCTCTCAATAATACCATACCTCCTATCCTCTACATCCTGCTCACCTAACATCTTGCTCTAAATCATGCATCCACAGTCCATGTTTCACATCCATACAGTAATGCCTGCACAGCCACATCTCTGCCTCCATAGACATAATTCCTCTTTCCATGCATTTTTTTATTCCATATATTACAGTATTTTATTTCCTTCCACTATTCTGTGGTTCAATTCACCATACTTTTATTTTCTGACATATCCACTCCAAGACACCTGAAATATTTATTTCTTCCAATCTTCCTATATGACACACTTTCATAAACTGATAATTATTATAATTTTTTCTTCCATACCGCTCATTAGACACAATCAACTGCAAAGTCAAGCTGACTTACCCCCTATCTATAACATGTATCACAATTTATCAGACTTACATTCCTCTCCATCACTCTTGCTTCAACACCACAAATTACCCCATACATAAAAATTTTAAACAGTACGATGATGTTACACATCCATGACAGAATACTACTTTCCCTAGGAGTTAGTTTCCTTCTTCCCAAAATAACTGTTTTACAAATGCTATTCTAACTATAAAATTAGGGGCATCATTAAGAATAAATTATAAAAATAAAATATATATAATAACCATAAATGTTAAAACAAATGTTTCTAAAGCAAATTTTTAGTTATACTGTACAGTATAACCTTAGATATCTGACATTTAACCATCTAGAACTCTCAAGCAACTGGAATTTTTTGGTGGGATCAATTTTCAATAAGTAATGTCTGATCACATTTAAAAAATCAAGAAAATCGGTTTTAATTTGGGGTCGCTTTGCCCGTGGTTTCATTTCTGGCCACTAGAGATGCTGTGTGCATCCTCCATGTTGGCCAAACACACTGGGTGTCGCCATTACAGTGCCCTCAATAAAAATAATTTTTAAGTGTAACCTTAAGGAACTTAACAAACCTGAAAAATAGTAGTGAACTAAGTGATTATTGTACCCATATTTACTCAAGTTCAACAAGTAACTGTATCTACTGTACAACAGGATTACACACACCACTGCAGTACTATATAATGAGTACAGCCTTTCTATTAATTTTATAATATACAGTCGGCCCTTTACATACGCGGGTTTAGCATACACAGATTTGCAAATACGCCGATTGCCCCGCCGGAGGAATATTCTGTACATTGAAGTAATTGAAGTACATTCAAATCGCGCGCCATTCAACTCGCATGCGGCACCGAACACGGGACACCGCCCGCTCTCGCTACCTCACACACACAAGCATAGCTCTCCCTCACTCAGTCAATCTCGCTGTAACCACGCTTGTGTTGACATCAGCATTGTAGTTGCAAAAATATTACATTTCCGTGAATGTATTATATCAAGCACAGTATGAATAGAATATCACTAATGTAAGAGTATTTTAACCGAAAACTACTAAAAACACGAGTAACATATCTTGAACATCGGAAGGTTAGGTAAAGTCTTTTGTTTTCATGTAGTTTATCCGAATTTACATTGAAATGCATTACGTTTCAGCAAAACTACTATTTATTTCTGAGAATATGGAAATGTAATATTTTGCTGAAATGACGTACGTATTACAGTGGAAAGTGACGAAAGCAATGACTTGCTTTCTTTCATTCAAAAGATGTTACCGTAATCGCTTTTCGAATGGTTTTCAGTTAAAAAACTGTTGTATTGCAATAATATTCTATCCTAATTCACTTGTGATGCAACAGTTTTTTTAACTGAAAACCATTCGAAAAGCGATTACGGTAACATCTTTTGAACGAAAGAAGGCGAGTCATTGTTTTCGTCACTTTCCACTGTAATACGTACGTCATTTCAGCAAAAATATTACATTTCCGTGAATGTAGTATATCAAGCACAGTATGAATAGAATATCATTGTAATATAACAGTATTTTAACCAAAAACTATTAAAAAAACGAGTAACATCTCTTGAACATTGGAAGGTTCGGTAAAGTCTTTTGTTTTCGTCATGTATTTTATCTATTTTACATTGAAATACATCACGTTTCAGCAAAACTACTATTTATTTCTGAGAATATATTCATTCAGGCACAGTTTAGGTAAAATATACATGTGCTGTAACATTTTTCTAATTGAAAACGATTCGAAAAACATGTACCCTCTAGCCCTGTTCAAGGAGAAGACTGGGAGGAGCTGTTTGGTGCTTAAGACGATGACAAGGAAAATGATTTTGATGGATTTTAATGAAAATATTCAGAAAGACCCTGGCACTGTCAAGGAAAGTGGCTGCTGAAGGCTTCCAGGACATGGCAGAGGACGAGATTAGGGAGCTAATTGAAGAGCACGACACTGAGCTGACCGAGGAGGATCTACAGGAGTTAGTAGACTCAGGCAAGGAAGAGGAAGAGCACCAAGAAATAACGTTGGAGAAGTTGGGGGAGATGACCAGGAATATTGAGGCACTGAAAAACCTGGCCTATAGTATGGACCCCTCCATGGTGCGTGCCCTGAAATTCATGCGAGGGATAGATGACGTTTTTGCTCCATACAAAAACATCATGGAAGAAATGAAAAGAAAGAGACGACAACTCCCCATCACCATGTTCTTTGATCACCGAAGGTGAGATTTAACACCATCAATCACTGGCGGCAGTGAGGAAGCAGGAATCCACCGTCGCCCCCATTTCACCACCCGTTATGGAATTCAGTGACGATGAGCCCGATGACCCCCGTCCTGTCGCCAAGGAAAGGTACGGTACAGTAAAGTGAAATTTTTATCTCTTTTTTTTTAATAGCTTTTCTTGCCATGTTTATTGTTTGTAAAAATGCACAGCACAGTACAGTTCAGTACTGTACATAGGAAGTGGAGGTGCAGTTATTCACAAAACATTTGTGTTTGTTGTCGGCAGTAGTGACGGTGAGGAGGTGGAGGAGGCAGAGGAGGGAGCGAGTTGGGAGGAGTGGTGACCTTGGACGCGGGAGCAGGGACGAGTGGAGATGCCAGCCAGTACATTACGGGTGTATTAATTGTTTTTATAGCTATTTTTGCATTTTAATATTAAATACTGTACATTACGTTTCAACAAAACTATCATTTATTTCTGAGAACATGGAAATGTAATATTTTTGCTGAAATGATGTACGTATTAGTGGAAAGTGGGATAAAATTGTGACGAAAGCAATGACTTTCTCTTTCTTTCGTTCAAAAGATGTTACCGTAATCACTTTTCGAATGGTTTTCAGTTGTGGGATTATAAGGCTAATGATAGGATAGAATATTATTGTAATACAGTACGAGTACAACAGTTTTTTAACTGAAAACCATTTGAAAAGCGATTACGGTAAAATCTTTTGAATAACGAAAGAAAGCGAAAGTCATTGTTTTCGTCATGATTTTATCCCACTTTCCACTGTAATATGTACGTCATTCCAGCAAAAATATTATATTTCCATATTTATTTCTGAGAATACGTATATTCATTCAGTCACAGTTAAGGTAAAATATACTTGTGATTAATATTTTAATAAAAATACGGTATCGTAGTTTTCTTTTGTTTCAAATTTAATTAACAAAGATTGATGTTTCAAATGTAATGAACAAAAATTTATGTACAGTATTTATAAATAAACTTTAATAAATGAATACTTTATGTTTTACATCGTCCTGTGCTACCATACCATGGATTTGGCTACTTTGGGCTTGCTATGATGACGCAAGAGATCTGCCCTGGCAACTGTACCGACACTCACAGCTGGTGGTGCGTTGGTACATCGTTTCCATTGTTTACTGGTAGTTACTGGTAAATATTTTTCAACCTAACGAAACTATTACCCGTTTTGGGGTCGACCCCCAATTTTTTGCCAAATAATTTGGTCTTAAAAACTCGAACTACACACAGGTATATACAGTAAATAAGGACATGAGGGGCCAGGGGTTTTGGGGGGGGGGGCAGCAAAAATACGCGGATTTTTAACATCCACGGGTATCTCTGTTACATAACCCCCGCGTATGTTAAGGGCCGACTGTATTTACTATGCCCTTTTATAATATTTACTATTACAATGTTCTTAAGTGTGAGATGCATATTTATAAGGATAACTCTCAAGCATCCGGAAAAAACGATTATCCGGCACACTCAATTCTCCATGCATTCTAGATATCTGAGGTTATACTGTAGTATGAATTATTTACAATGAAATGTGGGAGTTGAAAATACCCCCCAAAATTAGGAAATCTAATTTGACTTTAAAACAAATCCTTAAAATGCAAGTTGAAGCTATCCCAGACGGTTGCTAATGATAAGTTCAGTGCCAAGGTATATGTACAATTGGCTAGTTAAAGTTTATGGTTGCAATATAGAAGGGATTAATCCACACCATGTAACACTAATAAAAGAATTGCATTTTCAATAATGAGCATGAACTTCATCTTACCAGGTGGGCCATAAAACAAGACTCCCCTTGGAGGAGCAATATTGAACCTCTCAAACACCTCTGGGTAGAGGAGAGGAAAGATGATCATTTCCTTTAAAGCATTCACATGATGAGAGAGACCACCCACAGCATCAAACGTAACCGAGCGATCCAAAGTCATCGGGTCTATGTCTGCTAAGCTGGAACCAATTTTTGCTCGCTCCCTAAAATAACAGATTTAGTATTAAAGAAAGAATAAGTGGGAAATAATTTTACCCAAATAAAACTCATGAAAAACATTAGTACTATGAGTCATTGGAATAGCTCAAAGTAAACAGGAGTACAAGAAAGGAAGAGACAGAATTAGGAAGAAGAAAAAATAAGTTTGACCAACACATTGTTTGATGGGCAGTATGGAATTTCTGAACACTTGTAAGAAAATTTTAAAAACACTTTATAATAAATTTGCCACTCAACCATGGAACAAGTAAGAAATACTGAATAACTAAATCGCAAAAATGCTCAGATTGTAATCTCAACCAATAAAAGGCATTGTTGCCCACTATTACCAACCAAATTACTCACCGTTGTACCGGTGAGTTTTTAAACCAAACAGTAAATATAGTACTGTACTTACTTTAGTGTGGTAGTTAATAAATCTTCTGGAGACAAATTCATTGGAAGGCAACGGTTGCGTGATTTTGCCATACTTCTAGCTTTACGTTCCTCAAAACGATCTTCATCTGAACTACTGCTATTACTTGTTGATGTATGATGAGCAGCCTGCAGAAAATAACCATTTAGCGCAAAGAAATAATGAAAATACTAACATAGGACCTCTTTAAAAAATGAATGATTTATATTTTTTACTACCATCAAAGAAAAACCTAAATGCCCTCGTGTATTAATTTTAGCAACAACTAATATGATATGTAGTTTGAGTTAATACTGATACATTAGCATAAACCCTGTATTTCTTGCCTTCATTCAATTTTCATATTTTTGTTTAAGCAAATTCTGACAAACCAATGTGCAATAGATCCAATCAACAGATTTTTGTCTGCACTTTACCAATCTTAGTCCATACACAGGTCTCAACTAAGCTCACAAGAGACAGAAGAAAGATCCTTCAAGAATTCTTTAGAGCTTTCCACACAAGAGATAAAACTGATCTTGATACCGTAAATAATTGCACCATTACTAAGCATACTAGGACCTATTAAGCTTTATTTCTTAGTAAGACTGGATATATATATATATATATATAACCTATCCTTATGTCACTCTTGGCTCTCCCCTAGCTCTTCTGCTCTCCACATTCAAACACATACATTTCTCAGCCCAGTTGGTCTTCTCCATTCACTTGGAAAAACCATTCCAGTCTAAATCTGTGCAAAACCTCTTACTGGTATATAAAAAAATATTTCCTTTTACAAGGATTCAAAAGAATGAAACAAATTTTAACCACAAAACGTACCATACGTTTATGATGAAACATGTGCTTTCTTGCTGGAGAATTAAGATATCTCTTGTGATTCCTCCGATGTCTTCTAGGAGGAGAATCTTCATGATATCCCCTGGCTCTTGATGACTCCTCTGTCACTGAATTGAAAAGAAGAAAATAAATAAATAAATTGGGTCTAACACTTGTTCTAAATTATTTTTTCCCATCCCAAAAGAGGGAAAAGCAAAATTCCACTGGACATGAGATTCCCCAAACATGCAAGAAATAAATCATGCATTGAATGTAACTAATTGGAAAGACTGAAATATCCTATTACATGGATAAAAAGTTTCAAAGCCAAATTTGGTTTAAAATTATATACAGTTCAGTATACCTGTACTTGTTAAAGAGGACACTGAACACCTATAAGATAAAACAACTTAGTTAAATGGTGTATCTAAAATATGTGTGAGCAGATGAAAAACCTTAGAAAAAGAAATTCAAACAATGATGACCTGGTCTTGAAAATAATTTAGGAAGGATATACAGTACAGTACAGTATCTCTTGGACATTTTATCAAGATACTGTTTTTCCCACCCAGCAACTCAAGTAGTTAATCCAGACAGTACAAAAAAGCAAACCAAAGGTGCTAGGCCCTAGGGGGAAAAAAAACAGCATATCGATAAAATGTCAGAATTCCACAATAAAAACTGGACAATTTGGTTCATACAAACCCCTCGGGCAATTCGACCAGGGCAGAGCTCCAAAGTTGTTAAATTAATGGGCTTAAAGTTATAATTGTATCAGAAAAATCTAGTATTTGTTTCCAAATGTATGCCCTCAGTTTCAGGTTTCTTTAGTGTTTTATATACTTCTCTAATGTGTGAATGTCTAAGTTACACCATAAAACATGATTTAAAGCATTAAGAAATTTCTAGATCTAGAATAATGCATCTCCTTGATTACATTCTGTATGTCAGAATGTAAAACCATTTGTGTAATGACTCATACTTCAGGAAAAAATTTAACTGAATGATCCTCATATATATACTAAAACACAAGAAGGAATGCATCAAATTTAACTAGGTGGCAATGAACCACAGAAAATTACCTGTTGCAGTATGCTGAAAGGGTCTTATTTCTTGTCTATTCCGTCGAAGTGAATATCGTGACCTAGTTTGCACTTCATCTCCATCTTCCTCCTCTTCATCGTCCTCATCGTCATCATCATCCTCATCATCTTTATCATTGCCACTATCATTTGAAGAGGAATCATGCTTTCGAGACCGTCTCGCAGGAACTTCATCTTCATACATAAAACGTTTGACTGGCCGACGTTGTCTTTTCACTCTTGAATACATGTCCTCAAACTTGAATGAAAGATCAGTTTAAGTTTACAATACGACGACAACAGTCTTCATAGCCAGCTACATATTGCACACTATTCATAGGCAATTATTATTCCTATAACTATTTCCTTTAAACTGTACTTAATACATAAAAATATATTTGAAGACAGAAGATTGCCTGTGCTCACTCATCTAAATAAAACCAAAATGCAAAGAATTAAGGTTCATAAGTTTCCCCATTAGTGTAGTTTTCTTTGCCTACAATATTAGAAGAGGGTGGCCTCATGTACACTCTTCATTAGTTACAACTGGCCTCATGTAAATACTTCTAAGAACATTCAACCTTTGTTAAAAAAATAAAGCATTGGTTTCACTATTATAGACACAAAGGCCTCCCCATTCAAACATAATGTATTCTTTCCTCTTCTTATCGTTCCATTTTATCTTTCTGTTTTCTCTAGCACATCCTCTCAGTGAATATAAACACTTTCATATACATTTCCACAAATGATCATCCCACTTAAATCACTATCATCTCTTATAATACATTATCATTCTCTGGATTTAAACAAAGAAATAGGAGTCAAAAAGCAAAAATAACATACCGGACTTTTCACAGACAGAGCATTGGCAGCAATGGGGTCTCGAATCCTCTTAATTACACGTCTACGCATCACTGGTGATTCCTCCTCTTCCTCCTCTTCGGAGTCTTCAATTTTCTCTCCAGCAGCAACTAAGGTACTTCTTGTCGTGCGTCTCTTCTGTGGGAGCTCTTCATCATCATCGTCGTCATCCTCATCATCATCACCATCATTCCCCTCTTCTCTGTCCTCATCTTGTGTCTCTTCTTGATCTTCCTTGAAACTCTTACTATGTTGTTCGGATCTGTCTAATGTTTCACCATCAGTTTCGATTTCCTCTATATCTTCTTCATTATCTTCTCCATCAAGTTTGGGTTTTGATTTTAATTGGTTCCCACATCTAGTTCGCATCCGCCTGGCTACATCTTCTTCTTCCGAGTTATCTGGGTCATCCCTAAAGCAGTACCGGATATTATATCAAGGGTTAAAAAGTTCAAGTACTGTACTGCATTATCAATATGGAAAAAAAATTTACAATCATTTCCAATCTAATGTGACTTAGATATAAAGAAAATATAATATAAAACTATAAAATAATAAAAGTGAGGAGCAAGAAGTTAATTCTTTGTGGGAGAGAAGGTAGGAAAGGCAAGTTGCTGGCTGGAGTGAGTGGAAAATTCCTCCTCGCCTCACTATATCCTTAAAACAACAGTTTTCGTATGCAATTTCACCATCATTTTTGTATTAATTAGGTTAATTTCGTGCCCGGGTTAATAAAATATTATTGTAAATTAATCAGCCCCCCCTCCACCACCACCAAAAAAATATACCACACTCAACCCAAATGAGTTATTGTGTAGTATTAAGTTCCTGGTGATATGTTTATATGGACAAACAGCTCTGACCAACCAGCCAGCCAAGGAAAGAGCTGTTAATGTAATATATCGAGCTACTCCTGTACTTTTTGTACAATATCAATGTGTTACTGTATTCTTTATGCATTATTTATGATAATTAGTATTTATTAAAGTATTGTGTTACCAAAATAACTAATTCATACAGTACAGTATTACAAAAAAAAATTATCTGAATTAAAAATGCTTAGCTTTTTTTACATATTGGACGAACTTTTCGGATTTGTTTTATACCGAAAATTCTCTATACCGAACTGGCTGCTCACCAATTATTTCTGTATAAAAATGTAATATACTGTACTGTAATTATATAACATAAAAAATCTATAACAGGAAGTCTTCATTTTCTTACATTTTTCAAGCCTCTTCTAAGTATTATGCAGTGGAAGTGAAGTCAAGAGCAAATGCACAAACACATTTTCTCTTTTATACCCATACTACTGTAATAAATATATTCTGTTATGGTACTCCCTTTCCACATCACAGCTGATGATATCCTTTAGTTTGCTGCTGACACTCCACACGACCCAGCTTTACCAATCATCTCCACATCTTTGCTCATAATCAGTCAACACCATGTTCTCTGCTCATTCATACATAATGCTGTTTTCAGGATGTCCCTTCCCATCATTTCAAGTGCAACTTTCAATCCATCTCCTTCCTGGACTTTTTCCCTCTCGCTCCTACAATCTATCTCTGAATTATACTTTATTTACCAATCAATCACTTCCCAGTCTCCTAATATATCCACACCACCTGAGCAGGTCCTGTTAATCTCTGCATGACACTTCCTTCATTTCCATCTTTCCTCCTACACTTATTCCCTGCATCCTAATCACTTCATATATTGCACTCAATTGGGTCGTATACTCAAACATCATCCCAAGTCCAGGCTTCACATCCACAACATATGAACACAGTGATTCTCCTGTTGGTTGCTGGAGTGCCTGATTTCTGAAGTTATAGTGAACTACTGAATGGACAATATCCTAACCTATATCTCCTTGGTGGGACACGGCGACGTCTAGTAGGTCTATGTGATTTAGGTGTTAAGGGGCAAAAATCTTGGTCCTCCGCCTCGTCATATCGGCGAAGTTTTCTACGTCTGGGTTCAACCTCCTTATCAATATATCTGGAACTTTTAAGAAGAATCAATACACCTGATGTAAATTTTAGGAGGAAAATAGGGAAGCAAATCCCCATACACCCACTTGCCCAAAGTGACTAAAATAACATCAGGGTAAGAAGAACTCACAAACTGACTGTTCAGCTATAACCCAGCAGGTGAGTTGGCCATCTGTAAAGGTTTTAATATGCATGAAGCATTAAATTTCCTGTCATTCATTAAAAAGTAAATAGTAAATAGACCATGTTAAAATATATACTGTATATAGTGGTGAAAACCTTGAACCTTAGTCTCCAGTTACTGAGATATAAATATGTGAAAGGTTACCATCTTTAAGACCGGGATGAAGGCTATACCTTTAGTCTCCACTCTTCAGACTCCCTAGTGTCTCCGTGGGACTCAGGTTGATGTCTCCACTCCACTTTAAAGAGTTCCCTTAGCCTTGAAGGGGACATGTTATGACAATTATACTTATTCTTAATGATGTGGCGAGTGTTGTTTAATTGTGTTGTAGGGCTAGTAGTATTCTAGGATATACAGAGTATATATATATTTTTATTTTACATGAGTGAGCGACTGACCAGGAACCTATCCCACTGAACTCCATATTACAGTACCCCCTGTATAATGAACATCATTTACGATATTTCAACCTGCAATGGGGTTTTCAGGAACCTAACCCCACAGCAAATAGAGGTTTACCTATACAGTGACCCCTCGTCTAACGAACACCTCGGTTAACGTAATTTCGATTAACGAACTGCCTTCCATAAGGATCTTCAATTCGGTTAACGAAAAAAAATTAGGTTAACGAAGTTCTTACGAACCGACCTCAACATGTTTTCGCTTGCACTGACCGGGCAACCAGCTTTAGTATCAGTCCGCCAATACATTAATCGGTTCTAGGGCTTAAATTCCTTACTATTTTAGTAAATATCAAAAAGTTTATACTATTCAATAATTTTAAAAGTTTGATATTCAATTTTTTAGTCATTTTAACAATTATTGAACATAATTGAAGGTAAAGTGACTAGTTTAATGCGCGGCATCCAGCCTCTTAACACAGCAAACAGAAGTTAGTCTCTCTCTGTTTTCACTGGAGGTAACATCTTGCTTGAGACTCTCTTCAAGTAAACGCTTTTTTTTCTGTGTTTCCAAGCAAATTATTGGTCATTTTGAAATATATTTTACATATTGACAATATATAATGCAGTGCAGTGTTCATTTAAAGAAAATAATCTTGAATTACACCAGAGAGCGAAAATTTTATGGATGAAATGGCGCCATGGGGTGACTTCTCTTCCACCCCAATGCCTTCTCTTCTTCCTTCTCCTCCACCCCCATTCTAAATCCCATCATCATCATCATCATCATCCAGGAGCCTTCTACATACACGCCTCAAAGTAAGTGAACTTTACTACCATTTTTGTTGAATTTAGGAAATTTTTGGTGAGCTGGAACCAATTACCCAAAAACCCATTGAAACAATGGTTTCGGTTAACGAACTTTTCGATTAACGAACGACCTTCTGGAACGGATTGAGTTCGTTAACGGAGGGGTCACTGTATTAATAAAAATTTCCATTTTCATATGCCTAAATCCTTTTATGATCATTTACACAACTCAAGGTTTACAGTATAACTTACTATAGGTAGTTTAAAACTGAGTGCAGGATTAATAATTGTTGTTACATACCACAAATTATCACATTATCCTTGTATAGCTTATGATATATTTTAAATGCTCAGTAACTATACAATACAACCATAAAATTTTTTCTAAAGTACAGTATTAGTAATCAACAAACCAATTATCTACAAAATACATCCACTTCAGAACATCCTTACTTGCATAATTTCCGTGAAGGTCTGGGTTCTTCATTCTCTGGCTCAGAACTAGGAACAATGGATGGATAACCACGTAACTTCTTGTTTCCTACTAACCATGATTGGTCATTAAATGAACTAAATTTTCTTCTTCGAGAACTGCGTCTTGGACCTGAGAAAAGTTGAAAGTCCTTGGAAAAATATTCTATACTTGTGTGAAAAATTTCTTACACATGACACTACTGATAATAAATTCCACACTTCTGTACTTCTATGATATAAAATACATAGCATTAATAAAGGGTGTAGCCAAGGTCATATATCTAGAAAAGGTAATTACCCATACTGTACAATGACTACTGTCAAATATGGTTGGGAGGGGTGAGGAGCATGGGAGAACTGGAAGAGGCAGGAAAAAGAAATACCTGTAGGGAAAATGTCAGTGGCTCAGGAGGACTAAAAGAAGTTGGGGGATGATTAGAGGATGTTGGGAAATACTGGAAAGGGTGAAGAAGATGAAGGGGAGTGAAAAATGCAGTAGAGAGAGATGGACAGTTTACAGTCAAGGTATGCAGGCAAGGCATCTGGGAACAGGGATTCTGGACCTTGATGCAGGATTTTGAGCTGAAATATAATACCTACATGTAGTAAAAAGAGACCAATTTTCCTGAGACATTCTGTAGTTAGAATTCAGAATGTCTGGGGAGCTATTATCAGGCTCTAATTTTAGAGTAAAAAACTCCAATTACATACCCATGGTCAACATTTTTTGTGATGAATAGGAATGTACCCCCACCCCCCCCTTTATTCCAATAATTCTTATGGAGGAAAATTTCCCTGCAGTTAGTCATTTCAGTGCAGCTCTTTATACTACAAAGTCTCTTGCAATCTCTTGTCAGGATTCTTAAATCCAATGTCATTTCTTACCTCTCCCCACCTTCACATTTAGGTTCAGGCACCTCTTAATTGAATTAGCCTCATCCAATCTTTCCACATGATCAAACAATCTCAGCTTACCTCTACGCAGAACTCGCCAATAATCGCAATACCCAACCACCCTCTTAACTGAACAGGACCTCCTGTCTTTCAGTGTCACATCGCACATCCACCTCACCATTATCAATTCAGCTTCTTCAACCCTGTGTATGTCATCCTCTAACTGCCACGTTACACTGCCATACAACATCACACTTCTCACATCAGTTGCATACATCAATCCTATCGTGCAGAGGGAAGGTTCTCTTGCCATCAGTAAAGGCAGCAATACCTAAACTTACTGCAATCATTTCTGACTCTTGCAACTGAGCAGGCTTTGGCACCCCACCAGCAGTGATCACACTCAGGTAATAGAACTTATCAACACTGTCTGGGCATATCCCAAAAATTTTGAGGTTCTCAACCCTTGCTACGACAACTTGCACTTCTAGATTACTGTACTTAAGAGTCCGCAATATTCTGCATTCTGCCATCAAATCCACTGCAATTCGTGTGTACTTACCTTCCACATTCACTGCATATTAATGAGTTACTGTTAACACCTTTCTTATGGACAGCACATAGCCATTTTCCATTTTGTTTTCACCACAGTCACTCTCAAACCCTTAACCCATTCATTCCTTTCATTTCTTAAATTTCTCTGTTGTCTCTTTAATATTAATTGTTATCAGCACTAAGTCATTGGCATACAACAGTACCCATGGAGAGTAACCATGCAGCATGGAAAGCTGCCATGAGGTAATCACGGCAAATGCAAGCAAGTGTCGAAATTGGCTGTAAAACACTGATGATTCCCTTCTGCACATAAGATGTAGAGAAATCGGAGTTCACACGTCATTAATTCTACAGGTCTCAAAGAACCTTTCACCTCAATCTTTCAGTACTTCCCTATAGTACAGGGTACCAATTAAATATTTATGCTTGAGTATATGTACTGTATGTGTCTCCATCTTCATGGTAACAAACAGTTTAATTAGCAGTGGTCCCATAGGATGGAAAATAAGTTTAAATCAAGTTCAATGTAGTGTTTTATATCCACAGGATAGCAGCAAACAATGGAAATGTAACTGCAATAAACACAAGAAAACCAACCTTCATCCTCTTCAATGTGGTTGTGATCTCCAAGATCATCACCATTCATTACAAACTCCTTCTTAATTGGATTTTTATTATCTTTGGTGCGTTGGCCACGAGTTCGGCGTGACTGACTACGTCTATATATTTCATCATCTGTATCGGTATCCGCTTCAACGGCAACAACCTCATCTTGTCTTATACGAGAAGGCCTTCCCCGTGGGGAATCTGTGGGAAAAATAAAAATCTATCATATCTACATACCTCAACATAATTTGGCCGAAAAATTCTTGCATGGTTTGTGGTTATCAGAAGCTCAAGTATTCTTGAAAAATACACTATCGAGCTATATATATATATATATGTATAATATATAATATATAATATATATATATATATATATATATATATATATATATATATATATATATATATATATATATATAATATATAATATATATAATACGTATATAATATATAATATATATTATATAATATATATATATATATATATATATATATATATATATATATATATATAATATATATATATATATATATATATATATATATAGAGAGAGAGAGAGAGAGAGACCAATACAATGTCTATACAGTATACATGTTTGAACTGTTTAAATAAATGAAAAACAATGTATATATACATATACCAGTTTGTGAGTGCAAGGTTTTCTTATATGTCTGTCATGTCTTATAATACTGCAACTGTAAATATTATGTAAGATGCATTAACAAAGACTAAAACAAATATGGATGAAAATCAGTCATTTGAGTAGCTATGACTCAGTGGTTGACAGGATACCCAAAGCATAACGTTTTAAATACGTCTGATTAATGAAGAAGAATTTTTTCAATTACATAGCACTTAATGCACAGAACACAAAAAGCATTACCAGTGCTTCCCAAGTCAATATAGAAGCAAATGCCATTCACTACAAGCTTCATTCTTTCTCGACCTTTCCTAATGTATAGGAATTTACAACAGTTTTCAATTGTACTGCACACCAAAATTATGTGCATTAGCACAAAATTATAGCCAAGTTAAAAAATTCAACATACAATATTGGTATATTTTGTACCTAATTAGGCCAAAGATTCTTTCGAACCAATTTTCAAATGAAAAATTTTGTAGTCCTCAAAATTCAATATAATAATGTCTCCTTCCAGTGAGAACTAGGCAATCTTTCTGCATTAACCAACATGAAAAGATAAAATATTTTTAATCTAAGTCTTCAAATAACATCACATTTTTTAAAATATATATAAATTACACCTCTATTTACTTGTTTATTGAAATTTTGAAACTTTTCCCTCTTGACATTCCAATTTTCTCCAAACAAGTAAATTTCTAGGCTTTCTGAGATAAGAATAAAGCCTTTTACACTCTTGCCACTTGATTACAAAATGCCTGTATTGTGTACAATTTAGGCACATGCACCAAAATTACAGATCCTATAACCTTTCACCTTTCTTTATCCTTGTTGAGATGGGTGTCACTTGATTTTGGAGATTTAACCTCCGAAAGACTGCAATTATTGTAGTAATATTTGGTCATATGAAAAACAAGCAACATCATGATTGGTTGTTACCAGAGTGAAATAAAACTAATATATTTTGATAACACTTTTGACATATAATCAGATAGGATTCTACTACCCTAATAAAATTTTACAAATAAAAACAAAAATTAGTAGCAAAGAAATGAGGAGGCAAGCACTTCAGGACTGATGCCCATCTGTTCACCTACTACATTTTCTCTTGCTACAGATTGCTGGCTTCACCTGAGTACGGTAATGGGGATTCTCAACAATATTTCAGCCGAGTGCACATGCTAAACACATTTACCCCGTACTCATGATTGTCTCATTTTACTTCTTAACTTTTCTATATAAAATAATTAAAACATACATTCCTCAACAAGGATAAGACATATTAATCCACTTTTTAATATACTGTATAAATAGTTTGTCATAGAAGATGTTAGAAAAACAAAAGGATGTGAATGCAATATTCACTCTTCTAAAGAAAGCTTCTCGTGATAAAAACTTGGAGAGATATTACAAAATTTTTTGTGCATTTATAGCCTAATGTGCAAAGAGAGTTACAGTACCAAGATCAGGTAAGGGCTTCCATATAGAGTAGAATATGTGTAAAGATGTAAGAACTGACTCAGTAATGTAGAGATAAATATTGGAAAAAGACAGAGATGCATTATGAACTCATGGTACATAAAATGATGATGTAATGAGTGGATAAAACTACCAGTAAAACTATTTGTGTAGAATTGAGAAAGAAAATGGGAAGCAGAATAACTACTGTACATCAAGATCAAGTGCTATGGCTGCATTGGTCCTTTACCTGAAGTTAGCTAGCACTGCAACATGTATCATAATATGAAGTGACATTCCCATGACAATTTACTGAGTAGCAATCTAATCTTTTTATACCATAGCAAGTAATGGCAACTTCATTTGTGAAATATATTAACTCTGAAAAAGGATAAAAGATCTCATTTTACCAATGTGCCCAAAACTTTGCTTTACTGTAATAGCATACTGTACCACCCTCGACCAATAATAAATAAGTCAAACGATCTTATACCCAGCTTAGATGTGTCACTTTTAACATATTACTGTACTCTATAAAGCAAGAGCAGTGAACAATTAACTCAGTATTTGGACCAATGACAATCACTGTAATTGAAGATCTGGTCATTCAATGAGCACATCAATTTCAATTATTTAAAATTTTGTTAGATGTCCTCTTTTGAATTCTTTTGCCTCCAATTTATCACTTTAAGCTCCCCTCCCCCCCCCCTCGTTTAAAAACAATCAATCATCACTCATTTCAAATCTGCAAAATACTGCCGAATTTTGCATAACTTGTGGGGACACATTTTTTAATAATTTTCTAATAATTTATTAAAAACTCTGAAATACGGTATGAAGCAACAGTAATAATAAACAGTTTTGTGTCCTTTATGAAAATCAACTTTTACTGGGTATCTTATCAAGTCAAATACAGTACTGTACAGTATACAGTAGTATGTTCAAAGTGAAAAATCAAATTGAAAGGAATTGGAAAAAAAGATCTCGAAACCAATACAAAATACAGTTCAGCTATGGCTGATGACTTAAGAAGTCTTATCTCAAGTTTCCTTAGTATGAAATTTGGATGTAGAGAAAGAGATGCAAATCATAAAACAATTTAATTTAGATGTGCATCATATTAATTTTATATTGTATTGTTAGCCAAGAGTTTCGGCAAAGGCTTTACAATCTGATCGAGAAAATTTTAATTTCATCTATTCTGTCAAGTTTCAAATTCCTATTGCAACTACACACAGTAATGTACTGTACTGATAATTCTGAAATGGAAAACTAAATACCCAATTAAATAAGTGTTGTAATTCAAGTTCGAGTGCAAGTCCAGAAACTAATGGAGGTGCATTGTCATAGTAAAGTGAATGTGTCTGAGAAATCAAATTAGAATTTGAGACATGACTGAATGGATATGGCAGAGATTAAGTGTTTAAACATTGGATAAAATTTTCAGCAATGAGAGAATGAAAGCTAATGTGTGTTGAAAAGTAGGCAAATCCCTGGTGGATAGTGTCTAATAATAAAATGAAGATGATAAACTACAGGATGCTTAACACAAAAAGGTTGATACAACTAGCTCTTCTATATACTGTATAGAGATTTAATACACTGCAACAATAGAATGGAAGGTAAATCACAAGCAACCCAAATGGATTTAAAATAAAAGTTGAGGATAAGGAGAGTACACTTATAGAAGAAAACATTGAGTATTGAAATGGGATGAACATATGGAGAGAAAAAAAGAAGGATAACCGAAGAGTTTACATGAGTGAAATAAGAAAGAAAAGGTGATGAAATCGAAAGAAGAAACCCCCCAAAAAACAATGTAAAGTATACAAAGAAGAGATAAGAGAAGAAATGTGTGGAGAAGGCTTTAGGCTTATGGGATAGACACAAAATATCAAAAGTTATCTCTCATGTAACTTTGTAACTCTAAATAAAGCAAGCAAATCAATGACATACGTAAGAAAGCATTACATAACAGTTACTAGAATTGCTTGAGGGTTGGTTCATTGTAGGAAGTGAAATTCATAGAGCACAATGAAAAAAAAATATCACCCTTTTCACTTAATAGCTGTGCTTAATAAGAACATATAAATTCATATATTATCCCAGCAAAATAATAGAGTACGGTACCATAAATTAAAAATTTATCACGAGGCCATGCAAAGCTTTTATTAGCGTCTGAATGCCAACAAAAATAAAGCACATATCACCATTTCAGCCAGCACTTCTCTTGCCACATTGATGGGGAAAAGATCAAGTTGTGGGAAGAAGGGAAGGGAGGGTTCTGCATGTTGGGAGAAAGGGGAATAGGCTACCTCTGCTGGGTTGAGGCCTAGGAGCCTCTTCACAGGAGAAACACGAAGGTCTCTTCCTGGCCCAGCCCTTCAGTTTTTTGTCCGCAAGCGAGCGAGACAGCAAAACGGCCAGGGTTCGCGTTCTCAGTTTTCTCAGAGCAGCTGTATACCAAAAAAATTCACACTTTAATGAATAATGATATCACCAAACAAAAACTACATTCAGCTTCATAATTTGATTCCTGCTGTTCAATGCATTAAATACTGGACAGACTGCCATCAAAATAACTACAATCTCATCTCTGGTAAGATATCCAAAATCATAAACCCACTTGTTAAGCATTACATGAAGCACAATTAAAAATTCCAAGCCAAGGCTTCTAAAGGAATAGTATCATAATTTTGGAGCATTCGCTAATACAGTATACGTAGTACCGGATAACTGTGCAAGTTTTGACTTTTTAATTATATCCATGAAGCCTTGTTTGTTTCAATATAATCAGGCTCACACAAATCACATTGAAGTTTTCTTGACTGCATTAAATTTCCCAATCTACAGCACATCACTTTAGATCCCAAAAGGCTGTTGTCACCAGGCAATGCCTAGGATATCAGTAATGTTTGTTGAAAAAAATCTTAAAACATTTCCTAAAGACACCAAGAGATCATGTACTGACTGTACTTACTACAGTACAGTAAAACAAAGCACCACTATTTAATCCTACTTCCAATGTTTTTGTTTATTTTTCCGAGTAAGTGTAAGCTATATTGGTTAGTGTATATGACTTCCAAACAAAAGACTTCAACCAATACTGTACTGTACATAAAGTTCATCAGGTACTGTACAAGTTTTTTCTAAAATCACTGAAAGTGTATAGACGAATTACATTATTACATACACAAATCATATTCTGTCCAGTAAAATCTCCATTTAGAAGGAATCCCTCAAACCCGGAACTCTCCGATAGCTTATTCTCTCACTCCCACACCAGTTTCTGCCTGACCAGACCAGTCCTATCTGTCAAACCAATGTCCTGCCCAGACAATCTTCTATGTCCCATTGTGAAAGAGAAATTAAAGTTAAGTACTGTACTGTATATTACAGTAAATATCTCTACAGTGCTGAACTTACAAAATGCTGTGCTTAACTATTGAAGTTCGAAATAGCATAAGCTACCACTATCATAATTATTAAGGCTGGATTTGAATTTGGAACTGTTCATAAATTGGAAAATAACTTTAACTTAGTCTTAAATGATAAAAAGAATTATAACTCTGAACCAACTATTATTGTGATCAACTAATCCCTTAAATGCATCAATGACACATCAATAATACAAAAAACTAGTTTGACCTAAAATCAAACCAAAATATCCTGTCAGTATATGCAGTACAGGTATTTCAATCTAAGACCAGTGGCTATCACCGAAATGTTTTAAATAGCACACTATCTTTCCCATATGGTTCGTGTAATGTATCTATTATCCATGGCTCCAAACTTCAGAAATCCCCTGAGATACGTTCCTACACAAAAATAAAAAATCCCCAAATGTCTTAAAATCCTACAAACATATTTTTAATAACAATATTTTTGGTGTACACGATGATTATAAGCTGATAATAAACACATTAACCCTTTCACGATGGGGTCGCCACTTTTAATATTTTATTTGGCTAAAGCAAGTCGATTTTATTCAGCTCAGAGATACCCTGTAGCTGCTTGAAGGTCACAGAAATTATCGAGAAACTGCTACACACAATCAAATGAGCTGCGTGACGAGAAGTAGCAACTGGTATACAATACAGTAGTTGCCTCAAATGTTTGGTTGAATATGACCAGTATTAATTTCAAAAGTTATGTGAAAGCAATAATAATTAGAAACAGACAAACAGTATTGAATGTAGCTAGTGGGCTATTCATTCAATCAGATAATTTTATTTATGAACTTTATAATTCCGACAAACGTTGCGACTCATTACAGTAAAAGTTTCTGGAACATCGACAAACCCATTCCATTCATTTTAAGGAAACTCTCAACTTCTATTTTGTTTATCAAAAGTATGCATACAATGATGTTGTCTTTATTTTATTATTTAAACAGTAAAACAAACATTGAACCGAGTATGAGTGTGTGGGAGCAAAACTTGATGTAGTCACTCCTGGTGGGCCTGGGGTAATATGGATGACCTAGAACCCAGGAAACCGGAAAATCTTCAAAACTATTTCTGCCCCAAGGAGCCCAGATTTGAGTCTACAGTATACTTTTTTTTACTTTTATCCTCTTCACCACTAATTGGCTCGTTAGCTGCTTGGGCGGTCGGCCATGTCTCTGTTACACACTGTTGGCAAGTACTGGGCATGCACTGGCTCCTGAATGCATCTGAGCCAGCTCCAGTGCTTGTCAAGTCTGGTCTTGAAAGAATTCACAACTCTCACTCCGAAAAAGTTCCCCCTCACAGTTTTCTGGACCTGTGACTTCTTCAACCTTGAGCTGTGACCCCTTGTGGGGCGAGCGTCCACCAGCTCCAGGTAAGGACACTCGACTGAGTAGCGCCCTTTGTGATGTTTATAAACCTCAGTTGGGTCCACCTTGCCCGTCTGTAGTATACCGGTAAGCTAGGCAATTGCAGGCATTCTAATCTCTCAAGGTAGCTGTGGTGCCAAAGTCCTTAGCCTATCTCGGGGAACAGACGGGGTGACAGTACTCCAGACGGGGAAGCACCTCACTCTTGAAGATTGCTACGAGGGACGAAACGTCTAGATATCTGAACGACCTTTTTATAAGACCCAATAATTTAGTTGCCCAATCCTTCTTCTCGCAAAGGCCTGAGAACTTCAGCTCATTGTCAACGTACACACCCAGGTCATTTTTACATTGTTTCAATCAATGCAGTTTCTTCATCCAGTTGGGACATATGATATGCATCCTTTCCGTTGGTACATCCCAGGTGCAGCCTCGTACACTTCGTGACACTGAACCTTTGCAGCCATTTCTTCGACCATTCTTGAAGTTCACAGAGATCCTTCGACAGCTCTTCACAGTCTGCTTGGTTCTTAATTTCCCAAAATAACTTGGCATCATCTGCTAACATTTGTATGGGGGAATGCACAGTGTCAGGCATGTCATTTATGAATCAAACAAACAACAGCAGGCCTAATAAACTGACCTGTGGTACATCAGTTGTGACTTTCTCCATGCCTGCGGTCATGGAGAAAGTCTCTGATCCATGCTAGGACACTTCCCCGATTCCCATACCCTTCCAGTTTAATTTTCAGCCTTTCATGTGGTATGTTGTCAAAAGCCTTGGCAAAATGTAGGTATATATTGTCGATATAACTACCCTGTTCCAGAATTTGGGTCCAAACATCTAGTACCTTGAGTAATTGTGTGAACATTTCGTACAGGCACCCTCAGAAATTTCCAAACCCCAGACGGTCAGCTTAAGTCTTATTTGGCTGCTTAGGTGAGTCTGTCCCACCAGCACCAGTGTTACCCCCCAGTAGAGGTAGAGGCCATTATCTTGGCCTCGGCAGGTGGTAGCACCACCCAAAAAAGCACACAATAACAGCCAGGGCGGTCGCTAGGATGGCGCGGGCTACAACGAAATAGTTGCGTTCTTGTAAACCTCTTTTACGTTCACGTTCACCACCGGCAATTCAATCACCAGAACGCTTCTTGGAAACATTCTTCTTACCTTGCCTTTCCGTATTCACCGCTAACACAACAAAATTGGAGAAAATAGTGAAAATCACAGAGTAATTGACAGAAACCATGCGATTCAACTGATCACATGATGAAAACTGAGAGCACTGGTGTAAACCATTATTAGTCCTACTGTGAAACATTCTTTTTACTTTTTCTTTTCATCCAGTATTTATGGGTAATAGCTAAATTTGCAAACAAAATTAGTAAAAAATAAAAAAAAAATAAAAAATAAAAAAAAATACATACCTCTCAAAAAACACTTCACAAACAAAAGACACGAATCAGTTGAACATGTGATGTCGGACATGAACTGTAAACACTGCATAACCCCGCGCCACGCTTAAAACGTTGAGGATGGAATAGCGCTATAGCCAACATTCGTATGCAAAAGTTCGAGTTTTACAAACAGCCTTCCCCTATTCATCAATTGCGTTGCAACCAATTCGCGTTGACAAAACACGCATTGTAGCAGAAATGACTGTAACTGGTATGAGGGCTATGATGTCATTCAAGATGGTGGCTAGCATTCAGCAGGCTGGATCTCGTGTTCAGCTGGCCGGATCTCGCAAAATTCACGACATTTTACGCCAAATATAAGACTATGTTACATTAGGTAGTGCTCGCGAAATTCAAAAATGCCAATTGAAATTGCGAGTGAAATATGAGATCTTACTGTGCAGTAATTACAGGGTACATAATAAAGTAATAATCTGCCCATCACCAAGGAAAGCCCACAAAAAACTGAGATATATATTTTAATATCTGGGTGGTTTTTATTTAAAATAGTAATTAAAAAACATCAGACAGAGCCATGGTCCCCAACCTTTCATAGGCTCTGGGCCACATTTGCCATAGCAAATAGTGGAGGGCGCCAAAACTTTAGATCTACCTGTACATTCGAGAAAAAAAATCTTAATACTACAGTTATTTGCAGTTTTAACACAATTACCTGTTACCAGTTACATACATTTTACATTTACACTATCAGGATTGTTCTCTCTCTCTCTGGGATCAGTCGGGTAAAAACACACATCCTGTACACAACAGACTTGGGACAAACGGCAGTTTCTCTCTCTCACTAAAGTCGTATCAAGTTATTACTGTACAGATTTTCATTATTTTCAATCTGACAAAGAACCCCAAATATTTTAAAATTTTCTAATAAACCCTTGCGGGCTCCATAATATGGTTCCACGGGTGCAGGTTGGGGACCACTGGTACAAAGTAATTAATAGTGTTCTGTAAAATGTATTCAAAGGACTATTTAAGTTTGTAATTTACATAAGCCAGGTGCAGCTGTACACTATATATGTCTGTGAAGAACAAAACATTCCAGTTACCAATATTTAGTGCATACATTTACTACTGTATATATAAATACTGTACTGCATACAATACATATCTTAATATCTGGTGAATTTATATAGACTATAATTTATGTGTTCGGAGGGAATACCTGTAGTATATTAATGTCTGTACTTTACATAGATGTAGCTTATGTAGACTTACCATCACTCTTTA